CTTAAATCTCATACTGCTCGATATCGAATAAATTTCGTAATTTAAAAAAAAATGACAAAAATGAAATGAACGGCCTACTAAACAAGAAGCTTGAAGAATTGAATTAAAATAAAACAAAAAGAGTTCTATAAAAGGTCCTAAGGCGCATACTGCTAGATATCAAGTAAATTTTGTAAACAATTAGAAACTAGCTGTAAGTGGAATTCTGTCTTAAGGCAATTAGGGCATCGTGCCTTAAGGCAAATTGCTGGAACTTCCCGTACCAAAAATTATTATTTTTTTTAAAAACGATTAACATTTTTGAAAAAAATTTACTTCGAAAAAATAAGATTTTTGAGAAACTATAAATTGGACAAAAAATTACTTTTTTTTGAAAAAAAAAAATTTTTTTTTAAATTTTTAAAAATTTTTTTTTTTTTTTTTGAAAAAAAATGTTTTCTTCATTTTGACATATTTTGGAAGATCTGAACTTGTTTTTCAAAGCAATCGTACTGCTTTAACTGCATAGAGACAAAATATAAAGTAAACATTGATACGGAACCCATAGGAAAATAAACAAAATTTATACTTATTGTTAAAATCTCTATAAAATATCTGAAAATTTGATGTGCATATGTCTAATGATCATTTTTGACCGCCAAATGGCATTTTTTTTTACTTTTTTCGTTAGATCTCCGAAACCGCTAGACCTGCCTTTATGAAAATTTGATCAATTCTTTATCTTGTCAATACAAGTAAAATGTTTTTTGAATTATTAAAATCGGACGCTCCGTTCTCTTAAAAACTGAGTTACCGTTTTCGACACTTTTTGCCCCGTATCTCCGGAACGGCTAGACCTGCCTTCGCCAAAAACTAATCAGCACGTCTCCTTATCAATACGAATCGAATGTTTTTTGAATTATTTGAATCGGTTGATCCGTATTCCCGAAATCGTCGACGAAAAGTTGTATCCGCACATACATACACACACGCACATACACACACACACACATACATCCATTTTTTCTAAGATATGCCAAAATGTTCAGAAACCTCTGAAACGTAAAGATATATAAAAATTTTCATTTTCGATTTTTTTGCGATTACTATAACTTACCCTACGGGAAGTTAAAAATAACAAAAATTAAATTAATGAGTAACTAAATGAAAAGCTTGAAGAGTTGAATAAAATAAAACAGAAGGACATCTTAAAAAGGTCATAAGGCTCATACTGCTCGATATCGAATGAATTTTATTGCAAGTTGCTAATAAAACTAATAATTATTTTTTTGATTACAAATGATGAAAAACGAGTTGGAATTAATTGTAAAAAATAAATTAATCAATTAAATTTTAAGAACACATAAACAACTAATATCTCAAAATTTGCAAATTTTATAAAATTGTACACCTTCTTAATTTTTTATAATATTCTTTAAATTTAATTCAGTAACTTTTTCTACAAAATTACTAAAACTTAACCGTTTTTTTTAATTTATATAATGTACCAATTATGTACATACACAATGGTACATAATATTTAAAAAATTGCTCTCAAACTTAAACCAAATATTTTTTGAAAATTTTTTCAAAGTTTTTATAAGTATACTAAAAGTTTTTAGTAAAAATTTTGGAAAATCTCAATTATTCTGCAAGAAAATAAAAAAAACATCAAAAATAAAAATAAAACAAAAAAAATGTAGAAATTTCTGATCGTTGAGAAAATTTGTTAAAAATATTTAAATTTTGCAAAAAATTTAAAAAAATATATGTATATTATTTTATTTATTAATTATTAATTTAAAGAAATTTCCATTATTTTAATTTTTATTTTTTTTATTTTTCCAGTTTTCTTACAAAATAACTTTAAATTTTTACAAAATGCTCAAAATTTTTAACTTCAATTAAAAAATAGTTAAATAAAAATAATCCTGAAATAAATATATAAGAGAAAATTATTTAAAAAAAATTGTAGAAAAAAATGATAATATGGAAAACTGGAGCCTTTTCATAACTCTTCTTATAAAACGAATTTCAAATGGAAAAAGTATGATACTACATAAGATTGATTATTAAAAAAGTACCAGTTGGAATTAATTATTTATAAGTAATGTTACTTTTATATCTATTTATATTGACTTTCACAATTTTAATAACTAAATCCACACATTCACACTTGAAACAGGTTCATTGCCATCAATTTCCAGAATAGATATAAATTTTCAGAGTAAATATAAAACAACTAATTCTTAGCAATCGAATAATTCCTGGCATCGATTTGTTTTATCAATAGAAAATACGAAACCAATATCAACAATATCTATTAAACAATAGTACCTACTTCAAATTTATAAACATTTGTTTAAAATATTTGTCATAATAATAGAATAATTAAAATCAACAAGTATTGTTTAATAGTTACACAATGGTTATTAAAATGCTTTGAATCTTGCACCTGCCTTTTCTTGGACTGGTCATCACTATAGAATAATTAAAATCAACAAATAATATTTATAAGTTACACAATGGTTATGGAAAGTAAAAACCTGGACCTGTCTTTTCTTGGACAAGTGTAACGATATTTTTTTTACAACATGAACTTTGAGATTTTGCGTTTGAACTTTTAATCACGTCTTTAAATTATCGCTAAAAAATTAATTATTAATTAATTAGTACGATTTATGAATATTTATATTAAAATTAATTTGTTTTATAAATAATTTATGTTTGATAAACAAACATTTAGCAGTGACTAATGTTTGTTATATGTTCATACAAAATGTTCTCTGTTTTGTTTTGTTTTATTTAATTTAATATATTTTATTTGTATGTACTTTTTTTAATATAATCGTTTCAAGAAAGAAAAAATTCGTAGCCACATTTACCATCTTTTTTGAAGATCATTCCAACCCTTTTTTTTTGAATTTTATAAAAACAAATTCTATATCTAGAAATGAAAAAAAACAGAAGTTACTTCGCTATTACATCCTGAAGATTTTTTAATTTTTTTTTAAACAAATTAAAAATGTACTTTAAATTAATTTTTTTAGTTGTTAAAAATCTTGTCTTATAGTAATTACAAATTTTAAGATCTTCTAGTTTGCAATTTTTTAGAAGAAATTGAAGTTTGTAAAATATGTCTGATTGTTTACCTTTTTTTTTCAATTTTATAAGATGATACGTTTATTTAGTGTATAATTTAAAATTAACTTAGTCATTTTTTTACTTCTAGTTATAAAATTTTCCTTTTTTAATTGTTTGTTTATAGCATCAAAGATAACCAAAGGTCATAGTTTTTTTAAAAAAAGGCAAATTTCAAAAAATTGTAATTTTAGTAAAAATTTATATTTGGTAATTTGAGATATATTTGAACTAAATTTAGGTTTTTGCGAATATATAAATATTTCTTAATTTCATTTTAGAAAGTAGATTGAAATCATTTTTCCTTTTTTTAATTTTGAACAAGAAGAATTTAGAAATCTAGAGATTTTTTAAGTCTAGAAATTTTGATATTTTGATACAAATTTAGAAACAAAACTTATTAATTTTGATTTTCTAAATTAGTAATGAAGTATATAACAATAATTTAAACGTTTTAAAATTCCATAAGATAAATATTCAAAAACTTAAAAAATTAAAAACATTAATAATTTTTATAAAAATAAAAATACAAAAATAATTTTTTTTAAAAAATACAACTTTTAAAAAAAATTTACAAAATGGGAAATATTTGGCAGAAGAGAATTTTCATAAACCAAAAATTTAAGATAAATATTCAAGAAATTAAAAAATTAAAAATAAAAACGATCACAAATTTTATAAAAGAAAACATACAAAATAACAAATTTTCAAAAATATAACTTTAAAAAAAAGTGGCATTATTAGAAATTTTTAACAAAAGAGAATTTGGATAATTCAATATAAATATTCAAGAAATTGGAAAATTAACAATAATCCTAATTTTTATAAAAATAAATATACGAAATAACAAATTTTGAAAAAATATAACTTTTTTTAAAAAAAATTACAAAATTGGGAATTTTTATCCAAAGAGAATTTTGATAATTCAAGATAAATATTCAAGAAATTATAAGATTGAAAACAGTCACAATTTTTATAAAAATAAACATTCGAAATAACAAAATTTGAAAAATATAACTCATTTTTAAAAAAATGACTTAGTTTGATTTTGGTAATTTAAGAATTTGAGATAAAAACTATTCAAGAAATTAAATATTTAAAAACATTCACAATTTTTATAAAAATAAAAATACAAAATAACAAATTTTGAAAAGTATAACATAAAAATAAATTATAAGGAAATAAAAATTTTTGAAAAATGCAACTTTTTTCTAAAAAAATAACAATTCGATTTTGATAACTCAAGAATTTGAGATAAAAAATATTAAAAAAAATTAAAGAAATAAAAACAATTACAATTTTTAAAGAAAAAAACATACGAAATAACAAATTTTTAAAAATATTTTTTTAGAAAAAATTGGCAAAATTGCGAATTTTTAGCAAAAGAAAATTTTGATAATCTACGAATTTGAGATCAAAAATATTCAAGAATTTAAAACTTTAAAAACTTTCATAATTTTTATTTTAAAAAAAATATTTTTTATTTTGAAAAATTTAAAAAAAAACGACTTAATTCGATTTTGATAATTTAAGAATTTGAGATAGAAAATATTCAAGAACTAAAAAATTTGATGAAAACCTTCACAATTTTTATAAAAATAAAAATTCAAAATAACAAATTTTGAAAAAAATAAATTTTTAGAAAAAATTGATAAAATTGGATATTTTTAACAAAAAAATAACAATTTTTAATAATTATTTTTCCAGTTTTTTTCAATTTGTCCTATGCGAATTTCAAATCCTACTTTGCTGATCATTTTATTAAACTTTGTGTGGAGTTCCATTAATTTAATTCTTGGTACATTATCATACACTACTAGTTCATTAATTATAATAATTTATATTAATTATTAATTAATAAATTTTTAAAATGTACTCACCTTATGGCTAAATCCGTTAACACCGTTGACAACAACACTATTATTTGTTCCGTTCATATTTGAAACCGTTCACAGACTGAGAGGTGAGCTACGTTCACTCGAAATTTATATGTACATACATATATGATATGTACACACTGAACACAATATGAGAAATTCAAATTCTAATTCGTAAACAAACATATGTACACTACTCTTGACTCTTTTGGATAATCCGAGACAATATCAATCTTGCGATAATAATTATTATTAATTAATTTGTTGCCCACTTGGAGAAGAAGGTTTCATTGGAAGTACAAGTCTTGTTTACATTAGAAACATGAAACACTTTGGGGGCGTCCATTAATCACGTGAGCAAGTTTTTAAGGATTTTTGGATCCCCCCTTTCCCTTGATGATCCATGGTGATATTCAAAATTACTTCCCTTTCCCCACCAAACATCACGTGTATTTTGTGTTACTCGATAAAGCTGAAAATTTTTTGATTTTTTTTTTAAATCAGTTAAAAAATGAATACACGTGATATCTTACTATACCCCTCCCTCCCCCACGTGATATTTTGTGACTTTTTGTCAAACCCCCCTCCCCCTAAAAACCTCACGTGATTAATGGACGCCGCATTGGAATAACTTATATCTATTTTTTTGGTAACTCTACTTTACACTTCCTGATCTTTGTGATCAACTTATTTTATAATCCTTATTACTACTTTGTAGGTGTTCCATGGCGTAACGGTTAAGCGCACTGCCTTGTGTCGACAGAGTATTACCTTCGAACCTCGCTCTGGATAACTTGATATCGTGCAGTAGCGATGTCTATTTTCACCTAAATATATAGATCAAAAATATGTTTCCAATTAAAAAAAGCTCCTGGAGTTTACGGTCCAGCTCTAGGGTACTACCAATTATAATTTATTGTTAAGATTTATATAGAGTTTGTCGTGGTGTTGTAGTTAGGCACACACTAGTCCCGGGTTGGATTCTAACCTCGGCAAACTCGATATCAAGTAGTATGCCTATGCAGATGACGACAACACAGACAAATTCACACAGAATACAAATTATACAGAACAAGGCACTAAGACTAGTACTAAAGAAATCGAGAGACCTACTGACAAGACACTACTATTCAACAAAATACATGCACGAGCAGACTAAAGTGAATGTTATTTTCTAAATAAACAGTTGAAAATTTTATCTAATTAGCTTAATCTTAATTTTGGTTAAGTCAATTATTACACATTTCTGGAAGTTGTCTTAATGCAAAATGCCACTTTCACCTAATCAAACAACTTGTCGCAGAGAAATGATATTTCAGTATGTTCTATAAGACCATGATATCTATTGGTAGAAAAATTCATAAAAATCGTCGATTTTTGTAACAGTTAATTAAAAAAACGGCTAGGGAGATCTTTCCCAAAAACTGATCAACACGATCTGCAACCAATATCTTTCGAACGGTTTTTTAATTTTTAAAATTGATTCAGGATTGTGGGCTAAAACATGGATATTTTTTTTTCACTTTTCTGCTATTAACAAAGAAACGGCTTGGCTGATCGTCGTGCAAAACTTACAAGTCCTAATTGAATTACTTTGAATGGCTTTTAAATTTTTGAAATCGATCGAGTCATTTTTGAGAAAACGTTAACGAAAGACCAAAAATCGGCTTACATACACACACACACTTATTCCATGTTTGCTCTCATTTGATTCAGAATGGCTTAGAACGTCAAGAAAACATGAAACTAGCAAATCGAATTTTTGGGCAAAAACATGAACTTTTCCTTCTGGAAGAATTTAAAATCATAAATAATATTAGCTATCCAATAATCTTAAATCTTTTTTTTAAGTCTATTACTCGCATATGAGAGTAAAAGTAAATTTTGAATTATGCAATAGTTTTTATCAAGTTCACCGTAAGTTCAACGCAAACCAGATTATGTTTGGATATAGACAACAAATTATAAATTTTTTGACATATATATATATATATATAATATATAATTGCGCTTATGCATGTTGACATATTATACAATAATATTTATCACCATAAAGCTTAAAATCATACGTATGTGACCGTTATGGGTGGTTGCAAATTTACTTAAGATTTTTTTAAAAAAGAACATAAGTACAATTTAAGATTTGTTATAAATAATTTCTTAATTTTCTTCATAAGATATGTAATTTTTTTTTTCTTCTTTTCATGTACTAAATATTAAAATTATCAATTATTAATTAGACGTAATTTTATTACTAAATTCTAATAATGATAGAAACGTGGTTTATATCAAGAAGAAACAGAAAACATTAACCTAAAAATATTTAGAAAAAATTATAATCATGAAAAAAAAATCTGTGAATAAAATTTTGGGCTGCAATAAAAATCTATCATTCTAACAATAAGTTAGTTTGCATTTTGATTTATAATAATTATTAACTAACAAATTGAAGGAGAAATGTTTGGTTAAAATTAATTTCGAATTTGTAATAAAGTAGGGTTTAGTATAAAAAAATAGTTACATATATAGCAGTATTAAAATAAATTCTAATGATTTTTTTTTTCAGATATACGAGGTGTGTTCAAAAAGTACCCGGAATTACTAATAATTAAATTTCGCGGGTCTGGAGTGTCTGATTGTCAAAATTTTTTTTTATTGTGTTGGTATACATGCCCCTAAAGTATGATGAAATTTTCAGCTATATTCACTGTTTACTTTGTCTGTGGTAGTCGCTAAGGTTCGACGTGTTTTTCTGAGCTCGGCGATTTTTACAATGGAAGAATTGAAAAGTCAAAGAATTTGTATTAAATTTTGCGTAAAAAATGAAATAAAGTGTTGCAAAGTGCAAAAATTCACCAGATATGGCTCCGTGTGACTTTTTCCTATTCCCAAAGTTGAAGAGACCCATGAAAGGACGGCGGTTTTCCTCGATTGAAGAAAATCGCTGAGAGTGCTCAAGGACATATCAAAAAGTGAATATCAAGGGTGCTTCGAAAATTGGAAAAAACGCTGGCATAAGTGTATTATATCTGGGGGGGACTACTTTGAAGGGGACCACATTAATGTAGACGAATAAATAAATATTTTTTTGAAAAAACGAAAATTCCGGGTACTTTTTGAACAGACCTCGTATATCGCTAAGGAATGGAAAGCCGGAAAACCGTCTGAGTTGCACAAGGAGCAGTCGAGAAGTCTGTTAAGGAACTTTTTAGAATAATTGATGTTAGTATCTTAGTATAGTGTACATCTACACATGGTCATACACCATATGCTTATATATATATATATATATATATATATATATATATATTTCAAAGTAACTAGCAGCCCATTCGTCGAAATAAAAAAGGTATAAAGTATAAAAACTTTTATTTATACGTTTCGACACAAGATGCGTGTCATCATTCAGCAACTACAACAATTTGAAAATTTTATTAACTAATATAAACAACAATAGATTAATTATAGCATAGAGAAACATTATACACACCACAGGACAAAAACACTCAACAAAAATTTATTTTAAAAAATTAAACTTAATAACATATTATGGAAAAAAACATTTTTTTAGAAAAAATTATGAATAACTAAAAAATTTGAAAACTAATTTGACTAAAAGTTATGAAATGCATCATTGTGAAGCGAGAAACACGCCCATACCGAGCATCTTGTGTCGAAACGTATAAATAAAAGTTTTTATACTTTATACCTTTTTTATTTCGACGAATGGGCTGCTAGTTACTTTGAAATATGTTTCAACGTCGAAAAAACTATCAAGATATATATATATATATATATATATTCTTATTTTATTTTGTATTTATAAGTTATTCATACAAAGTTTGTTTCTGTCTCTTGAAATCACCGGCGAGAGCATTCGCTTTTAGCTCATATGAAAATATGCACTTTCTATTGCATCTGACATGAGAAAATAGTACAACAAGAGATTCATGTAACACATTATATCTAATATACATCTAATTGAAAAAAATAGTCATCATTTTTATAAATCCCAAAACGAATTTTTCAATCGTTATTAACTTCAAAAATCCTGTACTCGTCAGATTTTTTTGTGATCCAATTGTATTTTAATTTATTCTTATAAATTGTTTAATCAAATAAATAAAAGATTCATAGACAAACATTAATGGAAAGATAAGAAACGTATTACATACATGCATTTATTAAAATATAACTGTTTTTATCATTTTTTTGTAAATTATTCTCAATGTGATTGTTTCATAAACAGACTTTGTAACTTTTTTATTATGAAAAAATTGTTAAATCCTTATAATTTGATACTCTTATAGTAAATCGTAACTAATTTCTTTTCTCTCAATAAAAAAAGAACTTATGGATCAATGATTAAAACTTTTCTAATTTGAAATGAACTTTTATTATCGGTCATAAATTTGCTCTTTCTCCTGCTAAACCAAATTCATATTTGTTTATTAAAGTTCTTAGTAATTTGGAGATAGAGATTATGAAATTAACAAACGTTGAAAAAGTAACAAGTAGTAGATCAATTAGTTGCAAGAGTCTTTTACCTAAAGAAAAAAATTAAATATAATTTGTTTTCTTTCCAACCAAAATTTAAAACTATGTTTCCTGAACATATGATTAATTTTAAACCCAATTTTAGTACAAATCATTTGTATATTTTATATGAAGACAAACATTTTGATTTCATTTTTTTTAATTTTATTTTTAAGTTAGTAAAAATAACCATTCTTCTCTACTTTTTGGATATACTCAAAATTTAATTAATTTTTACAATTCTGATCGATTTGTTATATGAATAGATAAATTATTAAATAAGTTTATTGGCATAGGTAATCCTGGATTCATTCTTGGAATAGACTGGGTACGGTTATGCCACGTTTTTTTGATCAGCAATAATTTTGCTAATTTCTCAGTTAGGAGAAAAGTAAATTAAATGGCATTTTGAACATTTGTGTACGTGGAAATATTAAAATACTGTCATTAAATACGATGGTTTAGTCATAAAATTAAATCATACAGGAAAAGGGCTAATGTCACAATTGTTCTCACACCCAGGACGGTTATGACAGACATAAACATTGGTAATTTTTTGGCTGAACCAATCCAATAATGTAAACTTGTTCAAACAAACATACTTCATCTTCTTTCTTTTGGATACTATCTCATAATCAGTTTAGTTTGGCTCTTATGACGACTGTTTTTAGAAGGCGATTTGAGATTGATCTCACCGTATGGACATAGTAACCAATCGTCCTTAAAAGTAGAGGTCAAAAATATTAACTAGTGACATAGTTTAAGCTTATGTTTTAACTTGAAATTACTTTATAAATAATTAATTAATTATGTTTTTTTTGGTTTTTCGAATGCATCATCAGTGTTTTCATCATCAAATGATTTTTATTTAAATATGGTCATGACTTCCACATCCATTACATTGTTCTACACCTTCTTACTAGCAAGGATGATCTTCTGCAAACTAGCTTGGTCTTTCATTAGATAACAATTTCTTTCAATAAATAATAAGTACTTTCAATAGATATATACTTGTTTATATGTATTTGAATCCGTGTACAAAATTATCCAAGAACAAGTAATAATTCCTCATTACGAAATATCCGAGTCATGTTCATTGCACTCACTCTGAACAAACCGGCTAAATCCAGTTTCGTCGGTCGATGCTGTTCTAATAACTTTTGCTCTAATGTAGAAATGAATGGATTTGGTATTTATTCAAGCGTTTACATTGAATTCTATTAGAAATCGCATCGTGGTAATTAACTCATAAATAAGTCAAAGATAGATGCCAAATATATACATGAACAAGCTGGCGTACTGACATTGTACAAGTAGATAAGGAAGGCTCCTGAATTTTTTTTCCTAAAATCCAAGGATCTAGCAACCTAGAGACCTCATTTAAAATTAGAAGTATCTCCACTGGAGATCTTCTGCCACGCCATATTTGATCTTCTACAATGGGGATCAAAATTATAGCCTCTCGTAGGTACAGCTGCATATAAAGTCATAAAATGTCAACTAGTACTTCTAGTATAGTTAATTAGTCACAACTGGATTGGACAGCTACTGGGTTGCCATCCATTCAAAAAGCCATATAATATCGTCAAAATGTCCGAAAACTTACTAAATGTTCTAGTATGAAAGATTTTAATTTAAAGTAGGGTAGGGTGGGGCACAAAAGTCCAATTTGATTTGAGAAATTATATTATAAAAACCTAACCTATTATATTACAACAAATGACACATATCAAACAAACAATTATCTGACTATGTTCAGTAAAACTCTTATCTCCCATTCATCATTGCAGAAATGTGTTTTCTTGTTGTTTTTGAAAAATCCACCTGGTCTTTTTTACCCCATAGGCGAATTAAAATGAGACGATCATGGGGCAAACGTTATACACATATATTTTTTTTGCTAAATATATTCATATTTTAGCTTAAATACGCGTTGCCCATGTTCAAAGTCACTCAGAAGTTTAGAGTTGAAATTTCTTTATGTTTGAGACTTTTTCCCAAACTATAAACTATTTTTTTTTCGTTCTAATGGTTCGTCTTTAGCTTTCGATGAGATCATTTCTATACGGGTCGATTGTGATTGGTCGTCGTGTCACGTGAGAGGGCACTTTGATTGTATGCGTATACGTAGTATGTCTTCGATGTGACAACCATATTGTTCGGAATATCATTAGATTTTAAGGTTACGTCCTAGTAGAAATCTTGATTTGATGAAATATTTCTGGATGGAAAAAATATTTTATCTCGCTGTCCGTATCACAAAAAAAAAATCTAAGGATCATGGCATCTACACCATCAAAGTTTTTGACTCAAAAAATCACCACGATCATAATATATTTTTGTCATAGATCTTTACAAGCAATACGAATATTTTTTTATTAAATATTTAATAATTTAGTAATCATTTTATTATTACAATTTTACTAAATAGCTTGTTAAATTACCTTGTGAATCTTTATGGTTCAACATTTAGCAAAACTAAGCAAAATTAAGTGGTTGAGGAACACTAATTCATTATTTATATTATTTATATTAATTATATCTGATACAAAATTATCTCTAATATATTTATATTTACATTTATTACTAATTGAATCCTAAATGTTTCCACAAAAAACCCAATGCAGACATGAACACAACAAATGCATTCGGTAGAATTGAACTACCACTTCCTATAAAATTAAATCAAAAGACAACAAAAATGATTTTATTTCTAATTTTGTTTAATTTATTAATTTACAAACCATCATATCTAAAATCCCTTCCAAATATTGCAAAAGTATGCAGTTCTTCAACTGGTGGCCCTCTCAATTCCATGGTAACAATTTTTTTATTCTCGAGCCAATTGTCTTCATTTTTCTCTTCGTGGTATTGGAATTGGTTATTTTTTAAAGGCAACATGTTGTGTTCTAAAGTATCAGGCATGGTGAAGATTTCATCAATATTTGGAAAGTCACCTTCAATTTGGATGGATTTGAAAATTTGGTGGACTGATACTGTCGAAGAATCGTTGAATCTATAGAAAAAAAATATTATGGAATGATGTTTTTGAGAGAGACTAAGTTGATTTCGGAAAGAGGAAAAATGATTCAATAGTCAATATAATTTTTAGATGTTGAAAAATGAACACTGTGGTATATATAAGTTAGCTAGTAAGATGTAACTCTCTTGCAAAAATGTGGAAAATATTAATACACAAGTTAAATACGTATGCACTTATATGTATGTACTAAAGATTACTTATCACACAGCTTAATTTTCTGTTTTTACTTCAAAATAATTTATTTTTACCTCAATCCACAATGTTTAATAGTATCTCCAGAACATGCAACAATTCCACATGCCTTTACACCACCTTTGGCTTGTCCAGAAAATGAGCGAATTACATCTCCTACGACAGCACGATATTGATAAAATTGCACCTGAAATATATCTGTAGTATATTTTACTAAAAAACAATATCAGTATTATAAATACAAACATTTTGGTCAGTCTTGTTTAAAATTTCTGAAGTGATGTTGAATTTGCAGCACAGATCTTTGTGGCATAGAGTTGTAGACAGTTCAGTATCTATCTAAAAATAAATAATTATATTTAAATATATATATATATATATATATATATATATATTTAGTAGTTATTTTGGTTAAATATACTGACCAATTGTGAAACAAACTCTTTAAGTGATCCATCTTGGATCATAGGAAATTTATCCATTTTAACTGCTTCCTGGAATGAAAATGATTTTATTAAAAAATGAACATTTAAAATGTATATATACTTTATTTCTATCCAAACTTCCATTTAAAATGAAAATTTCAGTGTTAAATAACAATTAATGATGTTGATAGAGTAATCTATAAGTTGATGTCTAACTATCCATACAACGTCTAAAAACTCCTTAAACCTTATGAGCAAATTAGTATCTATCTATTTATGTACAATCTTTTTTTATTGCATTTTAATTCAAAACTTTGGGATTTTCTAAAACAGTTTTAGCATTTTTAACAGATTTCAATCCGAATTTTAATTCTTTTCAGCATATATAACTCCTATTTATGTCCACCATGTCAAAACCTATCAGCTGTTTTTGCGATCTTTTTATTTTACAAGTTGCACGAACTTCATGTAATTTCTTTAAAAAATTAATGAAGTACTATTTTATTATTACTTACATCAGAAATATATCTATCATCATTAACTTTAAAGCTCAATAGTGTCCCTCTTTTACTTCTGTGACTGTATTCGTTTTCTGGTTCTATTTGGATTTTTTCTTGGTCTGGTTTATAATGTTGCAATATTGGTACATCAGCAACCAAAAGTCTATTGTTTTTATTTTCTTCTCCGAATTTTTGAGGAACACTCATGAAAGAAGCTAAAGGACCAAGTTTGCCTGCAAAAATTCCAGATCCTCCACTTCCTACTAAAGCATTACTTGCTCCAGAAGCTAGAAGGTTGACGTTGTTGGAGAAGGACCAGTATTCTTGGACTTGAAGAGCTGGAATTTCAATTAGATACATAATAAAATGAAAAACAATATTTATTATTAATATGAAATTTTTTATCTAATCAAGGATATAAGAATTTGATCAAAATTTTGGAATCAAATATATTTTACCTGTTAAGAAAGGCAAACCACTGTACCACATAGAAGGAAACACGAAATTCTTTACCCCTTGTTTCACTAAGTTCATAGTTGGTTCCTTGAACAAAATATCGAAACAGGTAAAAAGTCCAAATCGTACATTGAAATCTGTCACAAATGTGGAATGATCAGGATGTTTGGTAGTGTTGAAAGCTGCTTCACCAAATAGATGGAATTTTCGATATCTAGAAAAAATACAAACTTAGAAAGTAATATTCTAAGATCTAAGTTTTCTAATCAATATTTTTGTATCGATATCTACTCTTGCAATGTTTTTAATTTTTATAGTAAATTTTTTGGTATGATATTATAATTATTAACTGTACCTACTGAAGATTTGTATGAAAAACTCTAAGTGAAAACCTATGTAAAATTTGCATATTACACAAATTATATTTAAAATAACAAAATGAAGTTGGCGATTAGTAAATGTTATTATTGAATGATCATATGATCAGTTCTATTTGGAGTTCTTGGACTTCAAAATTTTTTACTTCAGACCCTTGCAAGTCTAAGGCCTCATCAACCATAGGTCTAAAAGTCATAGACCTTTGGTTGATGAGACCACCTTTTGGGAATCATTTGGAAACTTTTATACCTTGCAATAACTGTTCCTTGCCTATCAAAAACAACATCTGTATTGAAAAAGTTGAATCCATCGAACGCACATGGTCTATCATCATTTGCATCTTGTTGTGATTGCCTTGAACAATATTCTTTTTCAGAAAGGTTGACAACTACGTAGATTTTCTTTTCCTTGGCTTTGCAGGATAATTCTGCCATTATATCTGGAATCTATAAAAAATCCAACGTCACAAACTGAATGCTAATATAGAGTAAGGAGCCTTGGTTGGCAATTGGACTCAACTATGATTAAGATGAAAAAGTGAAAAAAAAAACGTTTTTATGTTCCATGAAAGGAGGAAGTGCAATTAACTCCTTTAAATAACATGTTTTTATCAATCACTTCTAAATAACAACAATTTAGTAAGTTTTAATATATAGTTTTAGGAAACAATAGCAAAAATATAATCACTGGATAAAACAACCAAAAGGGTACTCAAACAGTCAAGGATTGTAAAATAGGATCCTGAAGCTAGAAAAAAATTGTAAAAAGAAGTTTTTGGTGTATGATATTCAGAAAAATAGCAAATTGATCATATATATGAAACAGGAAGGAGATTGTTATTTACAAGAAGAGTCTACTGCTCGTCATCCAGACAGAAGACTTTTGTACATTTACCATTAAATTTATGACTTTTGAACTACAGAAATCATGAAAATGGTAGAAATTGTCAAACCACCAGTTGTTGGTCTAGAACATGTAATGTTAGGATTAAAAAAATTATTTACCTTTTCACTTAAATTTTGTTTCTGACATAATTCTTCATTATTTGGAAATTTGACCATCACTGTTTTTTCTTTGGCTTCATTTCTACTGTTTATTCCACCATTTAAAGTCCCTTCTGGAAACACTAAGATATCAACATTCTGAAATTGTTAATAAAAATTAGAACTTCTTCACATGTTTTCTATAAAAACAAAATATTGATAAAGCAGAAAGATGTTTGTCAAGTCTATGAACTCCATCACTATTTCTTAAAGTCTTCAAAAAATTTATGCTATGTATTATTATTTTTTTAAACTTATTATCAACTTTTTGCATAAATCTAAAATTAGTTTAATTTAAATTTATTATAGCTTTGTTACTGAAACCTTTAAGTTAAAAGGTCTTAAAAAAATTACTCACCTGTTTTGCAGCTTCATCAATTTGTTTCTTATAATACTCTAAATTTTCTTGCACTTTTAAACTGAAGTCTTGATTTTTGGATGGATAATATTCTACTACTCCAGCTTTGTAATGGGTTGGATTAGCCTAAAAATATAATCTAAATGAAGTATTATACATCCTTAAAAATATAGTCAATATAGACTAATATCAAAGTTGTTATATCAAATCTATGGAATAAGTTTCCAAATTGATGGATTTGAAGAATGGCTCTGTGCGGATCAGAGACTAGGACTCTGACAAAATTTGACTGGTTGTAAGTGTAGTGTTATAAATGTTCTAATTAAAATATTATGAGCAAGTGCCAAGGATAATGTAAGATGAGAATTATATATCAAAGGAAACTGGACTGAACTCATGTTGGCTAAACTAAATTTTTGTTGACTCATGTTGACCAAATAAAGGCAGATCCAGCGGTTTTGGAGATCCAGAGAAAAAAGTTTAAGAAATGCCATTTGGCGGTTAAAAATGATCATTAGACATATGCACGTCAAATAAATTGCTGGAACTTTCTAAAATTTAAAATTTTAAAATTGTTGAAAACTTCGAAAAAAATCAGATTTTTGAGAATTTTGGAATTTTTCGAAAATTTGACTTTTTGGATAAATTTGAATTTTTTATATTTTTAACTTTTTCATATACTTTATTTTTTTTTTGAAAGTTTTGAACTTTTTTTCAAAGCAATCGTGCTGCGTGGCTGTTTTAGAGAAGAAATATCGAAGCGCGTAAGCGCCACATCGCCGCTAAACGGATTAACATTTGGGTACGGAACCTATAGAAATGAAAACAAAATTCATACTTATTAATAAAATCTTTGTAAAATATCTGATAATTTGATGTGCATATGCCTAATGATCTATTTTGACCGTCAAATGGCATTATTTTTTAATTTTTTTCATAGTACTCCGAAACCGCTAGACCTGCCTTCACAAAAAAATCGTCAGCTGTTCATTTCGTCAATACAAGTAGAATGTTATTTGAATTATTCAAATTGGCGCTCCGTTATCTCTTAACTGAAATATCATTTTTAGCACTTTTTGCCCCGTATCTTCCAAACGACTATACCTGCTCTTGCCAAAAACTAATTGACACGTCTTTTTATGAATTTGAATTTTTCAAATCGGTTGATGCATGTTTCCGAAATTGCCGACGAAAATTTGTATCCGCACACACACACATCAATTTTTTTTAAGGTTTGCCAAAATGTTCAAAAACCTTTGAAACGTAAAGATATATAAAAACTTTAATTTTTTATTTTTTTGCAATTACTAGAACTTACCCCACGTGAACTTACAAAATTAAAAAAAAATTAAACAAATAAATAAGAAAAAACAGGGAATTGAAAGCCAAGGCATAGGACTCAGAAACATAAAAGTAAAACTTTGTTATACAAATTTTTGTGTCTTTCAAATTTAATTTAAAATATTGTTAATGCATTTATAAGCAAATTATCTCTTTATTTTTTTTACAAGTTGACAAACATATATTCATTCAAACGTATTTAATTTTTTCTAACCTGTAAACTTTTATCTACAACAGCTAACACAAGAACAATCTTTAAAGTAATATTAAAATAAAACATTTTGCAAAAATATTATTTATCATTAAAATGCTTGAATAAAAATAAGTTTAAATAAGAATAAATAATGTTAAATTTATTTCATTAACATTAATTTAATTTATCACAGACTGATGCTTTTGGATTACTGATACGATCGTCAACATTTATATTAGAATCAACTTATGTCGTGTGATAAAAACTGATAATATTCAAACGATATCAAATATATTTTATACGTAATAATTGTATTTTACATATTTAATGAACTATTGATCAGGCGTTTTGGACATAAAACTTCACGTATGTGTTACCAAGGGCACATTAGAAATATGCACTTATGATAACATTGTGCGTTTTATAGGTTAGGTTTTATGTGTGAAAATACAAAGATTTTTTGAAGTTTATTACTGTCAATTGATACGAAGATAGATCTTTAACACAGCGTTGCTGTAACATTTCTGTTTTTTTCAGAAAATTGACCCCTGAATTTAATTTGTTAATATGGAGAAATAAAAATATCTTATTTGTATTATAGTAAAATATATATTTATATTTATTTATTCAAGCTTTAGGCATACATACAATACAAATTATTTCACATACAGAATTATTACATACTTAATTATTAATACCTAATTAATTATTTGTAAATGTATATTAGCGAGCCCTTAATATGGATAATTTTGAAATTTTTTGCTTCCAAGGGCTTAAATGCTTTCAAAATGATTAAAATAAATCCTCTAAAAGTTTTAGCTCTTAAAATAAACTTTTAGATAGTTCGCACTCTAACCAAAGTTTCTTATGGAAATAACATGGGTAGAATTCCATTTGTTTTTTAGAATTTTATAACTTGGCAACAAGTGTATCAAAATTTTGCGAATAACATTGTATTTGCTTATTTTGATCATAAATAAAAAATTTACAACACAAGTTTGATATATTTTATAAAATAAGTATTTAATTAGGAAGAAGAACCAAAAAACTTTGGTTGGACTGCGTACTATCTTAAAGATAATATTAGGAGCTAAAACTTTCAGATAATTTTTAATCAATTGGAAGAATTAGAGCTCCTGGGAGCAAAAAAATTCAAAAATATTCATATTAAGGACAATCCTAAGTATATAATTCTACTACAAACTAATTTCCACTAAAGTACTTCCACAAATAACCTAAGACCAGTGCAGACAAAGCAAATGCATTTGGTAGAATAGAGCTTCCACTTCCTGGAAAAATAAATATAACAAAATCAGTAAAATACGTTTAATTTTTTTTAATTACATTAATAATTGAATTTTTTATGTTTACCGTCATATCTGAAGTCTCTTCCGAATATCGCGAATGTCTGCAAGTCTTCAACTGGTAGTCCCCTCAATTGCATGGTAACTACTTTCTCGTCTTCATCATCTTTTTTCTCTTCGTGGTATTGGAATTGGTTATTTCCCAAAGGCAACATATTATGACCAAGCGTGTCAGGCATGGTGAAGACTTCAATAATATTTGGAAATTTGCCTTCGATGTAGATGGATTTGAATTTTTGGCGGACGCCAACTGTTGCGGAATTGTTGAACCTGCGAAAATGATCATTTGGTAAAGTTTTTGTTGATTAAGAAATTACAGGAAAAATGGGACCCTTAATCGCATACATGAGCACTCCAAAAGATGCAGGCAAGAAAAATGAAAACAGTAAACTGCTGACTGCAGATGTCTCTATTTTGGAACATATTCCTGTGCAAAATAAAACCAAACCAGAAGGTGGCGAAAACACCTCGATTTAGAAAATTACGGTGGTAATAGAAAATGTTCTTGAAGCTAGTTTGGTAAACCGAGATGGGCACCTATAGCACTACTTTTACTTTAGCTCTGCCTTTACCTGTACTCTAGCTCTACCTTTACCTTTACTCTAGCTCTACCTTTACCTATACTCTATCTCTACCTTTACCTTTACTCTAGCTCTACCTTTACCGTTACTTTTACCTTTTCTCTGTTCCTATTCAAAGGTTGAATTAAAAATTTAAAAAAAATCTACTTTCAAATATTGTTGTTAAAAAATTTGAGTTATTCAAAAAGCATTTGATTCCTATTGATAAGGAGACGTGCTGATTAGACCAGCAGTTTCAGAGATACTGATCTAAATGTGCAAAAAATGGCAGTTTTTCAGAGGTCAAAGCTTCTGATTTGAATGATTCAAAACCCTTTTGAATTGACATATGAATTGGTTTTGAAAATCTCTGATTTTTTTAAAAAATGAGGAAGATATACTTTATATTACCTGATACCACATGTTTTGATGTCATCTCCGGAGCAGGCGACAATTCCACATGCCTTAATTCCACCATTTGCCATTCCAGAAAATGAACGGACAAGATCACCAACAATTGCTCGGTATTGGTAATAGTGTTTCTGGAAATCAATAAGCAAGAATAAATAACTGAAATGATTTTTCACTATATTGAAGGTTTTATTCCCTATTCTATTCAAGTAATATCATGCAGTGGTAAGACCAGCTTCTTCTTAAAAAATGGATCTAAAAATGGATCTTCATATATATGATGTGAATAATTTCATTTTTCATTCCAAGAGTAATAGCCTTTTTTTTTAGATCCATGGTTATAAAAGTGAAATAATATTTTGTAAATAAGCAAAAAGCAAAAAACTCTTTACAACTTTAATGTATATAGTTAACAATCACTATTAATGTTTAGTTAAAAACGTTAAAAAGTTTTTAAAACGTTAAGTTTAGTCAAACGTTAAAATAATTCTAGATATATTGGCTTGGGTAAATTTTTACTACATAATTAATTTTAATATATAATTAAAATAGCTAACTATAAAATAATGTACTACCATAAAACCGACACAGTATTTCTATAGGTAGTAGGAAAATCCTTGTTACAGCTAACAAATTTTTTCATTATTTCATTTTGTCATTAGCATTTCTCTAGAAAACTATTACTTGCTCAAAGCTCATATCTCGAATTTTGCTCGTATGTCGAAGCAACAAATCGCTCTGTTGGCGACTCGTATGTCAAGTCGCTTGTAAATCGGGCAACCAGGCTACCACTGTATATATATATATATATATATATATATATATATATTGCATATCACTTTTAGATATATTCAATAATATCATCGTTATCAAGATAATGGACAACCACTGGGTTGCCATCTAATAATATATTAGAAGAAATCACGCCCCGATAACTTTATGAATGCAAAAAATATTCTGATTTCTGTTCAAAAAACACGACACAAATCTCATTGAAATGGTAATTACATGAATATGCATTTGGATGATGGAAATCCAGGCGTAAAAGCACAAATGCTATTGTATCAGTGACATTAATATCAGATTTTGACAAATCACTTCACATTTCACATATTCCATTTATCAAGAATATTCTTGGAATGAATTTTTTTGTGATAACAAAATGCAAAATAATTCATCTTATGTTCTCAGTCATTATAATCGAAAACTTACCCCGGTCTCAGTTTTATTTGCAATCTCCGAAGTCACATTGAACCTGCAGCATAGATCATTATTGCAAATTTCTGTGGCAAGTTGAGAAGAGATCTGAAATTCAAAAAAAAATTATCTAGTGCTCCATATAACTAAATTATATTTAAATTAAATATTTAAAATCCATAAAAATGCATTTACACCTACCACTTCCGATGCATATTCGTTGATATTATCTCTGATCATTGTGAATTTATCCATTTCTACTGGAGTCTGAAATAATTTTCAAATTCATTAAAACCAACATCACATTGTCTTAAAAAATGTATTTAATTTTGATTGACAATAAAAGTATGCAAAAAAAAAATTAAAAAATAAACAACAAATGCAATTTATATTAATATTATTAGAATGTGAAATAATTTGTACACCGAAGGAGAGATTTAAATTTATTATCCCTATTAGAAAAAGTACACCCACTCGGTCGCCTTCTAATAAATATATCCAATACATGAGAAACACCAATTGTGTTTGGGTTGCCTTTTAATTTGCCACATAGTTTGAAAAGTATGATTGACAACAGTTTATGGAACTTTTGGTTCAGATTTATAATCAAAATTATTAATTTTTTTATATCAAGCTAGCCAAAGTAGTTGCTGATTGGCCACCATGGAGCTACCAAGGCTACCATGGAGTAACCTGCTCAAATTTAAATTTATTGACTAATCATTATTCATCCAATGTTCGATCACAAATCTAAAAGTGGCAGTAATTTGCTACTGCACCACTAATTTCTATCTTACCAGAGGTTTGCTTCCACCTTCCCTTAAATCAGCATTTAGCAATGCGCTTCTTCTAATTTGTCCAGACTTTTCGCCACCTTCTGGTTTGGTATTATTTTGTACGGGAACGTAATACTTCAAAATAGGGACATCTGCAATCAGCAGCTGATTGTTTTCACTTTCCTTGCCTGCATCCTTTGGAGTGCTCATGTATGCGATTAAGGGTCCCATTTTTCCTGCGTAAATTCCTGATCCGCCACTGCCTCTCACGGTGTTACTGGCTCCTGCTGCTAAGAGATTGGCATCGTTGGCGTAGGCCCAGTATTCTTGTACTTGACGAGCTAAAATAATAACATTAGGCAATTTAAAACCATGAATGACGGCTTGAACGTTTTAAATCTTGAAGTGTTTCCACATAAATCAGTGGTCAGAGTTTAGAATTTATATTATCAAAAAATAGTTCAATAATTTATAATTCAATTACCTGTTAAGAATGGCAATTCGCTAAACCACATAGTTGGGAATGCAAAGTCTCTAACGCCTTCTCTCACCATGGCCAAGGCTGGTTCGTTGAACATTATGTCGAAACAGGTGAACAGCCCGAACGTTACATTGAAATCTGTGACAAATGTCGAATGTTCGGGAAATTTAGTGGTATTGAATTGTTTTTCACTAAAAAGGTTGAATTTTCGATATCTGAAATAAAATTATAATTTATAACATAGATAAATGATAATATGCATACATCAAATGTTTATTGCAAATAGAGACGTAAAATAGACTTCCAAGAATAGAAAAAAAAGGATAATTAGGAACCAGCAGTATAAAAAAAAGAGAATGCGTAAGGTTCACGCGCGATTGAAGTAAAACTTATTTGCTACTGTACAAGATGGCATCTAAGTAAAAATAAATACTTCATATAACAATTTTGAATAAACATTATTCTATTAGTATTACGGTAACACTCATGATGCACACATTTATTAGTGTCAACCATTATACACATTTATATAATAATAAATTATAAATTATATATTTATAATGCCATTAAAAATACGTATAATATTTAAAAACAATAATGTAATTAAAGTCATAGATCAAATATGACATGATTGGTTTGTCATTGTAATTAGCATTTAGAAATGAACCTTTATTAGAGAAATGAAGTAATTTCTGATTAATAACTTATTCTATAATATTTGTTCGCACAGTGGATTATGTTAAACAACGCCTAAGCAAATATTGTTTTCGCAACTTCACTCATCATGTGATAATTGTGTTTGAAAAACTTCATGTAATTAAAATTAACATACATTCATTGACTGCTTGTATTTTTTTTCATTTTTTTGCGGGCGATAAATCACATTCTTTAAACAGCTGTAATATTTGTCTTGCCTAAAAATATTTTCCATTTTAATAACTTCAAAGATTTACAGAAACTACGAATAATATAGAAATAATTTCTAATCAATAAACTTACGTTTAGTACACGGCACAAATGTTTAATTTGTTTTATTATTTTCAAGGAACAGGGTAAAATATTCTTCTGATTTAGCTATTTTTCATTAAATCAAGATTTGTACTACGATGTAACTTTAAAATGTTTATTTAGCTATGTCGATTTCTTTGTTGATATCGGAACGCATACAACGTTGATGCCTGTACGCATACAACGACAGATCTCTATTTGAATACACGATCTCTAATCACAATCGACCCGTATAGAAATGATTTCATCGCAACGAACTTCCGTTGCATTTGTATGGATTTACACCCTAGTCGCGCCTAAAGAAGTTTTACTTCTTTAAAAAATAAGGTAAATGGTACTTCCAATCCATGAGCTTGATTATTATTACCTGGCCACAACTGCTCCATTTCTGTCGAAAACAATATCTGTGTTGAAGAAGTTCCATCCATCTTTATGGCACTCCCTGTCGTCATTTGCTTCCTGCTGTGATTGTACTGAACAATGTTGTTTTTCCGATAGATTGACAACTACGTAGATTTTCTTTTCCATAGCTTTACAGGATAATTTTTCCAAAAAAGACGGCGACTGTATAAACATATTTAAATAATGTAGGATAAAAAAATTACAAAACATTGAGCAATATCAATGCCAGAGTTATAAGCAATTTGATTGTGAGTTGGAGTTTGTTGCTTTTATATTTGCAAGTTAGTATCAGTTTTGAAATACCTGTTTTAATTTTGTTGGGCATAAACTGTCTTTATTTGGAAATTTGATCTCAGCACCATGTTCCTTGGCTTCTTCTCTAGTTTTGATACCACCATTTAAGGTTGCTTCGGGAAACACTAGGATGTCTACCTTCTAAAAAATAAAAAAAAAAGATTTTATCGCGAGGTTTGATATTCCTATTATTCAATAAAATTTTGAATACAATTTGTGAGATTACAGTTATTTGAATGTAAAACTTGATTGTATCATTTTTTTAAGTAGAAAGGTTAATGGTTTCTAGGCATATCTCCGAGAAATCAAGATTTGGAAAATATGTAGAACTTTTAGTATCAGTAATAAGAGGAAGATCAGTGCAAAGATCGCTAGTAACATTGCATTTTTGTTACAAATTAAATAATATTGCTACTAGTCATTTAGCTCTTAGTCTATTTTGGAACATGACTCTATACTAATAAAAGATCAATTTAAAAAGGCTAGAAACGCTTGAAAAATATAGTTTCAGTAAAAAATGAATCAACTTAGTAGCAAATGGATGATATTGAGAATGAATATTATTGAGAAGAAAAGGAAACTGAATTGTCCAATTGAACTGGAAAGTTGTTCATGCATTTATGACCTTTTACTATCAGTTTGGATGGTTCTGCTAAATATATTTATTATATCAAGAATCACATAAATAAAAATGCCTATAGTTTTTACAATCTCGTACTATATTTCAATTGGTTAATTAATAATTAATTGGTTAATTATAATATCATAATTACGTTTTTTTTACTAATAATTCAATATACATTATTACTAAAGTGCATATCTTAGGTGAATTAATTTGTTAAATTCTGTTTATATGTGCACTATTCAATCTACAATCAACTAACTTATTTAAATCGTGTAGAAGGCGTTTCCAATCATATATTTGAATTGGTATTTAGTAATTATAATATCATTATTACATTTTTCTTACTAATAATTCAATAAACATTATTATTTAAATTCATATTTTAAGTGAATTAATTTGTCAAATCCTGTTTATATGTGCTCTATTCAATCTAAGATCAACTAACTCATTTAAATTCTTAAAATTTTCCTTAACTAACTTCAAACAGATTTATCAAAATTCGAATAACCGTACAGGAGGAGATTCCAATCATATATTTTAATTGGTTTTTAGTAATTATAATATCATAATTACATTTTTTTTACCCATAATTAAACATGCATTATTATTTAAGTTCATATTTTAAGTGAATTATTTATCAAATCCTGTTTATATGTGCACTATTCAATCTTCGATCAACTAACTCATTTAACTCTTTAAAATTTTCCTTAACAAACTTCAAAAAAATTTATCAAAATTCAAATAACCGTGTAAGAGGAGTTTCTAATCACACATTTTAATTGTTTTTATAATATCATAATTACATTTTTCTTACTAATATTTCAACATACATTATTATTTAAGTTCATATTTCAAGTGAAATAATTTGTCAAATCCTGTTTATATGTGCACTATTCAATCTATGATCAACTAACTCATTTAAATCCTTAAAAATTTCCTTAACAAACTTCAAAAAGATTAATCGAAATTCGAATAACCGTGTAGGAGGAATTTCCAATCATACATCTGTACAGAAAAATTATATATATATGTATAATATAATATATATATATAATATAATATATATATATATAATATAATATATATATATAATATATACTTTTCACAACAATATCTAGTTACAAGGGTTCTTCATACGTTGCGCGAAAAAAACTTATAAGCATTTGAATAAAAACCGCCCTATAGGAGTACCGCGTTATATGAGCCTTGACTATACATAAAATATCCATACCTTGCCTTCTGCTTCCTCAATTGTTTTTTCATAAAACTTCAAATTTTCATTAATTTTCTCTTCGAATTTCTCATTCTGGGACGGATAGTATTCTACGACGCCAGCTTTGTAGGTAGGAGTGGCCTGGAAAAGAGATATCAAATCTTTTTAGTTCGTGTAAACATTAGATGATATCTGTGTAGATTTATTCAGATTAATAATATTATATTATAATAACATAAAAACCTAAATTACAGTCGTAATAAAACTGACTAATGCTTGTGGATGAGTAGTGAAAATATAGGGTTATGCGAAGAAGTTAGTCATGAATAATTTATGTGAAGATGTTGCTCCTGATTAATTCCAATGGGTTGTAGTAGCAATGAAAGTTAAAAATAAATAATTTGATAAAAGATATTGCTCATGATTAATTCCAATAGGTTGACCAATGGGTTGTAGTAGCAATGACAATTAAAAATGAATAATTTAATAGAAGATATTGCTCCTGATTAAGTCCAATGGATTGACCAATGAGTTATAGTAGCAATGACAATTAAAAATGAATAATTTAATAGAAGATATTGCTCCTGATTAATTCCTGTTTAATTCCTGGGTTGACCAATGAGTTGTAGTAGCAATAACAATTAAAAAATATTCAATCTGACTCCAGATTAACTAGGTGTAAATTGCTCCTGATTAATTCCAATGGGTTGACCATTGGGTTGTAATAGCAATGACAATTAAAAATGAATAAATTGATAGATGATATTGCTCCTGATCAATTCCAATGGGTCGACCAATGGGTTGTAATAGCAATGACAGTTTAAAATGAATAATTTAATAGAAGATATCGCTCCTGATTAGTTTCAATGGGTTGACCAATGGATTGTAGTAGCAATGACAATTAAAAATGAATAATTTAATAGAAGATATTGCTCCTGATTAATTCCAATGGGTTGACCAATGGGTTGTAGTAGCAATAGCAATTAAATAGTCAATCTGACTCCAGATAAACTAGATGTAAGTGACCCTATGTTTCAAGCCAATTTACATAAACTATGCCGAGATGTGCTAATTCATAATCCTCTTAATCAATATGAAATCCATGTATGACTAATTTCCCGAATGATAAGTTCATGTTTGCGCACAAAATCCAATTGGCTAATTTTGTATTTTTTCGACGTTTCAAGTAATTCAAAAATCATCAAAGTTTATAATTTCGCCGTGCGTTTCAGCGATCCTAATTAGAATCTATGCCGAATCACATGCACGTTCCGTGTTTTGGTTGTAGCTACTGATTACGGTTGACGTACTTAAACTTAAATAAAAAACATTTTTAGAACACGAAGTGGATAAAATGAAATGTAGTAAAAAAATTAATTTAATTTAACAATTTCCGATATTATAAGTATGTTTGAAAGTTATCGTTTGGATATCGTGTTGATTGTTTTTTAGTGAAAGCATAAATATTATTTTCGAAATTTTAGTTAAACAGGTTGGCAGGTATACTGGTAGGCATGTAGAGAGGTAGGCGCATATAGAGAAGTAGAAATTTTAAATACAAGTCGAATTGAAATGAGCAAAATAAAGCTATTATTTATTGTTATTATTAAATATTTTTAGCATTTCAAATAAAAAATCTGCCAAGACACAGAATTAAATCAGAAATTTAATTTCATTTGAAAGCTATCAATGGAATTTTTGTGCTGGTTAAATTTAGATAAAGATTAGGTTGGTCAAGACAGACAAACAGTAAATTTTTTTTGAACTTTTAGTTGAACATTTTAATATAAAGCTAAATTTAATTTGATATTGATTAATTTAATTATGTATACGTATTGGAACGATAATGCAACTTGCCTTAAAACAAAATGCTACTTACAACTAGTTTTTTGCCAGTTTTATTTAGTGCATCTCAGCATAATTACTATTTTGATTGTTGTTGAATATTAAATAAATAAAATAAATATTTTGTTTTAATTAAATTATTATGCTATTATTATATGTAGCATTAATCAAGGTTGTGTCATCATCATAAAGATAAGGAAAATTAGTTCCCAAAATAAATTACGCGAGATGTTCAAAAGAAAATTCAAAGGCGAAAATGTGTTTCTAATTTCCTGAAAAAGTTTGTTTTTGCCAAAAAATCTGATTTTGTGAATTTATGTTTTTTGATGTCTCAAGACATTCTGAATCTTTTGACTATAATTGGAAAAAATATGTAAATGGATGAACAGATTTAATTAGATTTCCAGAAGAATATTGTTTTTGCCAAAAAATCTAACTTGGTTAATTTATGTTTTTTGATGTTTTAAGTCGTTCTGAATCTTTTGACTATAATTGGAAAAAGTATGGGTGAACAGATTTAATTAGATTTCCAGAAGAATATTATTTTTGCCAAAAAATCTGATTTTGTTAATTCATATTTTTAAGATGTCAGAAGTCGTTCTGAATCGTTTGACTATAATTGGAAAAAATATGTAAATGGATGAACAGATTTAATTAGTTTTCCTGAAGAATATTGTTTTGACAAAAAAAATGATTTTGTTAATTCATATTTTTTTGATGTCTCAAGTCATTCTGAATCTTTTGACTATAATTAGGAAAAGTATGTAGATTCAATCAGACAAAAAGTCTTGATGATTAGTTTTGTGAAAAATTTTGAACTGATTTCGAAATTCAAAAACCGTTAGGAATATATTTGTAGGGAATTGTGCTGATGAGTTTTTGGTAAAGATAGTAAAAATTTGTAATACATAAAACGTTTTTAACAAAACTTAAAATGGCAAAGAGGTGCAGTTCTATACAAACATCTTAAATTATTATAGTCTTAAATGTTTACTAATGGAATTATGACAATATGTTTATTATTAGCACCACAATTAATAAAATTGATGATATTATGAGTTTGTTTGAAAGATACCGATTGAAAGTCGTATAGATTAGTTTTTCGTAAGAGCAGAAACTTTATTTGTAAAAAAAACAGTGGAAAAAATAGTTTTTCTCATTCTTGAGAGATAATTTTTAGAAAGCCTCACTTTTTAATGAAAAGGGCTGATAAAATATTTGAAATTGCTCCAGCCGTTTTTGAGAAAACGTCGACGAAGTGTAAAAATAGTCTCACATACACAAGGGCACACATACCTTTTCCAAATTGGGTCTCGTTCGATTCAGAATGACTTGAAACGTCGAAAAAACATAAAATTAGTAAATTGGATTTTTAGGACTTTTTCGAGAAGTCAAAAATATAACTAAATTAGACTATGGTATGATCTAGATGACTATGGTATCTACCGTCAAAAAAAAATCATAATAATCGTCGAAAAAAGTTTTTTTAACCGTTTATTACAAAATAACGGCCCGGCCGATCTTTACCAAAAACTAATCAGGTCGATGACCAACCCAATACTTTTCGAATTTTTAAAATTGATTCAGAATTGCGGGCTAAAATGCGGACGAAAATTTTTCACTTTTCTGCTATTTACAAAGGAACGGCTTGGCTGATTGTCGCGCAAAATTGATAAACTCTAGTCCTCATCGAGATACATTGAAACGATTTTAAATTTTTGAAATCGGTTCAATCATTTTGAGAAAACGACGATTTGCGGCAGAAAATCTGTTCACACACATACATACTTTTTCCAAAATTGGTCTCATTCGATTCAGAATGCCTTGAAACGTCGAGAAAACATAAAATTAGCAAATCGGATGTTTTTATGAAAACTTCTCCTTGGGAAAGAAGAATTATTATCTAGAATTCGTCAACCATTTGGTGGCCTGCTAATACCATTCGATAGTATAAATAGCCAATTGTATAAATAATTATCACATAAAATATGAAGAGCCAACAGTATAAAATATTATTACAAAAAATATGAAGAGCCAATAGTATAAATAATTATCACAAAAAATATTCAGAACCAAAAAAATATATTATCTAAATCCAGTATTTTCCGGTAAATTCCAACTTCAATCTAACCTGTAAGCTTGGCGCGACCAGACAAGCAAGCAATACTAAAACTAATGAGTCTCTAACACTATACATTTTGCTTTGGCGATTGTTCACTAAATTTTGCACTAAATATTTATTATATTACTAAATGATATCACTAAATCGTTTAAATTCCGTTCGTTAGCGTCAATTGCCCGTAAATAACTGATGTATCTGTTAAAGAGCCGTTTCCAGGCCGTGCCGTGCGATTCATGATAACAGCCAGGTACTCATTAGATGATAATAAGTGACAAATATTATTTTTTCTTCGTATTGTAAAATACTGATTGTAAATTACAATATTGCAGATTGTAAAAGTAATCATGATTGTAAAATGGGAAATGTGTCATTTTTGCGATTTTTAATTGCGCGCTGGATTAAGTTCATGAAATCGCAGCCAAATATGGAGTATGATTTTTTGGGACATTTTAACTTCTTGTAGGGTGAGTTATAGTATTTGCAAAATCCAAAATGCATTTTTTTGCATATCTTTGCGTTTCAAAAGTTTCTGAACAATTTGGCATAACTTAAAAAAATGAATTTGTGTAATATTTATTTTGAGAGCACGGATCAACCGATTTAAATGACTCATTCAAAAAAAAACTCAATTTATATTAATTGGGAGACTAGACGTGCTGCTAATTAGCACGTCTTATTAATTTTTTGTCTTTGGTTATTAATTTTTGTCAAAAATAACCATAATAATAAGTACAAATTTTGGAAAAAGATCAAAAACTTTGAGATTCTAAAAATAATTTATTAATACCCGTAGGGCAAGTTATAGTAATCGCAAAAAAATCGAAAATGAAAATTTCTATATATCTTTACGTTTTAAAGGTTTCTGAACATTTTGGCATATCTTAGAAACAATGGATGTATGTGTGTGTGCGTGTGCGTGTGTGTGTGTGCGGATTCAAATTTTAGTCGACGATTTCGGGAACACCAATCAACCGATTTGAATCATTCAAAAAACGTTCGATTCGTATTGACTAGGAGACGTGCTGATTAGTTTTTGGCGAAAGCAGGTCCAGCCGTTCCGAAGATACGGGACAAAAAGTGCCAAAAATGGTAACTCAGTTTTTAAGAGAACGAAGCGTCCGATTGTAATAATTCAAAAAACATTTAATTTATATTGACAAGATGAAGAACTGGTAAAATTTTTGGGAAGGCAGGTCTAGCGGTTATGAACTCTCAATGAAAATAAGTTACAAAAGTGTCATTTGGCGTCCAAAAATGTTTATTGGATATATGCACATCAAATTATCAGATGTTTTATAGATATTTTAATAATGTGTTGACACAAAATGTCAATTTTTTTGGGTTTCGTACCAAGATTTTTAATTATGAAGTTAATTTATATGGTTCAAACAAATTTTCTCGACATTTTCGACAGTATGGAATAACCGATTTGTATGATTGAAAAATCATTCGGTTCATACTCGACCGCAAGGCGTTTTTGCAAAAGGCACATCTTGCCGTTTCAGAGTAATAGAGCGCAAAGGGTGTAAAAATGGTCATACAGTTTTCGAGAGAAAGGATCATCCGATTAGATTAATTCAAAAAACATTTTGCTTGTGTAGACGGTGTGCAAGAATGCTTTTACAAAAAAAAAATCGTAGTTTTGAAATTTTTTAATAAAATTAGTATAATTATAATAATAATAATAATAATGTTGTAAATAATAAATTAGTATAATAGTATCGAAAAACTTAAATTTTCGAAATTTTTCATCATTTTCAAAAAAAATCTAAATTTCGAAAAAATCAAAATTTAAAGTAAAAACGATTCCTTACAAAAATTTGAGATTATTTCGAGATTTTCCAAGAAAAATCGGATATTTTCAAAAATTTTCACATTCTTAAAAAATCTTACAATATCGATTTTTTTTCAAAAATTCGAAAAAAGATTCGATCTTTTAAAAAATATTCAAAATTTGGAAAAAAAATCAGAATTATCAAATGAACAAGTTAAAAAAAAATTGAACATTGTAAACATACACATAAGTTGATTGTAGAATACGCTTGTCGCCCAATATAATAAGCACTTATAAATTTACAGTATGTATTTATAATAAATAATCTATTTGAAATGATTCAAAACTTCGAATGTTTAATTACGATACGGGAAGTTCCAACAATTTGCCTTAAGGCACACGATGCCATGCACTACTAGTTTGATGAAATAAATTGCAAAGCGTCTTGTATTATCATTAAAATTAGATTTATTATTACTGCCAGAAGGCTATGCATTTGCTGTGCGAGACTTCTTACACATAAAACCTAACCTCCAAATGGCACAAAAGTCAAATAACAATTTTATCATAAATCTAACTTTCTGATGTCACTTTAATAACACATACGTGAAGTCTAACCAAAGTTAATGTTCTGACGTTTGTGCCTTTTGGAGGTTAGATTTTATGTCCAAAACTGTTGGTCGAACAGCAAAGACATAGCTTTGACAGTTTGTTTCTACCAACTCATACGATTATAGACCGTAACATAACATTTTCATATTATCCGAAGATTGGTCACTACTTTAAGAACAAATTGGAACTATTGTAGAGATTGTCTTCAACAATTTCTCCAAAAAATTTCCACTTCGAATGTCGAGACAAAAAATCAAGTACCTAGTTTATGTTTACGATAAACAGTCTATTGTGGACAATAGTTGCTTTCAAGTACTTGTTTGGCGAGAGATTTTCATCTTTTTACAGAATACAAAAAAATGTTATCACAAATATATGTTAGTATGTATGTATGTATCATCAAATATGCAGAAGTATCAAATCCAATTATCCAGTTATCTACATCAAGTCAATGATTGCGTCGTCATTATTGGTTTTTAGTTTGATAAGAAACAATATTGATTAATTGATAAGATGATTCAGAAATAAATTCAGGAAGATAAGCTTTAAACATTACACTTGCACTGCAAAATAATTGTGGGAAGGGAATCACCAGAACCAAGACGCCGGTGAAAAAATGATAAAATTTTTTTTTAGATATTTTAAAGTGATTGTAAAACAATTATGATAACATTAAACATGAAGTAAATCACAAAATGTATGATCAGGTGGTTTTTTGGAATTCTTCAAATGATAGCTAGGTTTGAGTACGAGTACGAAGTCATTCTGACAAGTACCAATGCCACCTCAAAAATTATGTAAATTTTTGCCAGATGAAGTTCATTATACATCGATATATATATATATATATATATATATATATATATATATAAATGGATTTATGTCTATGTGTGTGTGTAATTGTTATGCATTCATAAATCGACCGTCGTGAAAATTTGGGAAATTGTTAGGTAAATCCCCAGACAGGTTGTCGGATATTTCGATTGAAGCCAAGTGGTAGTTGTTGGCCGCACCAAAGTCCTTTGTTTTTTAGGGCAATTTTTATTTTTTATAATGCGTATTTGAAAAAAATACATATAACCCTAAATTTTTAAACTCCCATCTCAAACCTCTATGATGTAAAAATTATTACAGTAATTATATCTTTTTTCATTAATTGGTAATTGGTAGACTAGCAAACTGGTATACAAGTAAATTGGCAGACAGGTAAACAGGTAAACAGATTAATAGTTAAAAATATAGATAGATACATCCGTAAACAAATAAACAGGCAGGCAGGTAAATTGGTGAACAGGTAAATTGGAGGATATGTAAAATGGTACACTGGACAACTGGTAGATACTCGAATATGTAGACAGATAAACAGGTTGACAGTTAAACTGGTAGACAGGTAGAGAGGTGATATAGACAGGTAGACTGAAAAACAAGAAAATTGGTAGACTAGATGTAACAAATATGTATTTTGGTTCAAAAGTTTTAATTGAAAGTAAAACTTAAAAGGATTGAGGGCGTCTTACCAATTAAAAATGGACACTAATGTCGAGCAAATCAAGTCATAGTTTTTGTGGAAATTGACAAAATTAAATGACAAATTGTACTAGGAAAGATTCAATTTTTTTGGCCAAAAATTTGATAAATAATGTTGCATTCATCTGCTGGAACACGATCAAAAACAAATTTAGTCACAGTTGTCGAGGAAATTGACAAAATTAAACGTCTTATGGTACAAAAAGAGATCTCGGAAAAATTACGAAAGCACACATTCGAATTTTATATAAAATAATATATTTGAATTTTGCTGGATTTTCTGTATTTATCAGAGACACTACGGTTTGACAAAACTATTTGTAGAGTTTCAAAATATAGAGAAAATTTAATAACTTTTGTAATTATTGATGTAGTATACTGTAAAAGAAAGTACGTTTCTGAACACTATTATATAGTAGCAAAAAAATTAGATTTGTTCTATTTTACAAAAGAAAATGCCTGGAGAATGAAGTCATTGAAGAAGATATTGAAGATATTAGGAAAATTTTAAATTTGGATGCTAAGGTGTAAGGCGAAGAATCTAGGAAGTACAAATTTCAAATGCAAGTTCTATACGAGCTCGTATAAATGAGCAGAAAAGGGCTAAAATTGTAGCTTTTCAAATCATAAATCTGCCAACAGACACAAAATTAAATCATAAATTTAATATAATTTGAAAGTTATCAGTTTGAATTTTTGTGCTGGATAAATTTAGATAAAAGTTAGGTTGATCAAGCCGAAACCTGTACCAATGTAACGGAAGACCGTTACGTTCGAGTCGAGTGCCAATGATTCATCATTCGCTCTCGATGAGATCATTTCTATACTGGTCGATTGTGATTGGTCGTCGTAAATATGCATAATGGTTGACATTAATAAATGTGTGCATCGCGAGTGTTACCATATTTTAATTTTACCAAAATTGTTATATGATGTATTTATTTTTAACTGAAATGCCATCTCGTTCGATAGCAAAAAAGTTTTTCTTCAATCGCGTGTGAACTTTACTTATTATTTAAAAAAAAAATCTTGTTTATCAAGTCGATCATTTTCAAATTTTTGGAAACTAAAGCAATTTTTCTTAAGGCAAAATTTCAGTACATATGGTCCATTCATCACATACGTTATGTTTTTTTTGTTCAAAGAATAAGTTCTCCAAACCTAATTGTCAAACAAATTAACAGCCAATTATTTTAAAATTAGCGTTAATTCAAATTATCATAAATAAGTGACAAATAAAAGGATTTAATTTAAGACTGCTCGAATATTCAGCATAGCATTACGTCGTGTTTGAATTATTTATGACGGAATATGTACTAAGCAAATTATCTAAATTTTTTGGTAAAACAAACATTTTGTTGGATTTTATTATTTGATAACTTTATTATTTTTTATTGTAATATTTGCTAAATTGGATTATAGAGTTCCGCACTATGCGGAATATGATGTCAACTATGACTGAACCAGTATAAATATTTAAATTGGTTATTGCTGTATGAGATATCAAAGATTATTAGAAATTTGAACATATTAAGTAATTATATAGTTTTTTTAGCATACAACTAATTAGGCGCAATTATAATATTATTATGTGGCCGATTCCGCCGTACAATAGGCCAATGTTGTGCCAAGGCTGTGTTTCGTAGCAGTTTTCATACAAAATGGTACTAAATACTGTTAAATGGCAACTTATTTTCTGTATTGACAAAGATGTAGTAATAACATCGTTTTTAATCATATGTGTGTTCTGGCGTTAAAAACTATTTAGGTGGCAAAAAACTATTTTTATATGAAATGCCTGGCTGTACAGCAACCAGATTGCATTTTGACAGTATTTAGTACCATTTTGTATGAAAACCGTAGCATAGCTTTGCTACTGAATCATACTGAATGCTGGCAAAATGTCATGTATTTGCTGTGCATTCAGGCGTTTTACACATAAACTGCAACGTTACTCGTATGTTATGAAGCTGGGTCAGAAACACCCTGTTATCGGAGATCGTTTTTTTGACATTTGTGTGGTTTGTAGGTTAGGTTTTCTATATGACAACCTGAGAAAACGCCTAAATGCACAGCAACCACATGGTTTTTGTCAATATTTAGAACGAATTTGTATGGAAACTTCTTCATAACATAGCCTTGCCATAACATTGGTCTGTTATGCGGCAGAATCGGTCTATTAATTTTAAAGAGTGTAATTTCTAATATTTTTGAATTACAAAAATTATCAATATTTATAGACAATAATATTTTTTAACGGCGATCAAACTATTTGTATTAGAATCGTATATATAAAAGTATTGGCGCATAGATGTTGCAGCAATGCCCACATAAGGTCATTTTCACTTAGAATTATATTTGAGATCTATGACCCTAAGATAAAGTAGTTTGATATCATACTGCTTGATATCGAGCTGACCGAAGTTGGGATCAAACTCGGGACTAGTTTTGCTAGATCACGTTCTTAACCACGACGGGCCCAGGCAGTAGTAATTAAATTCAAATTAAAGTAAATATTATTATCCATACAAATTTTGTTATTTCTTATTTTGGTGTCAAACGATTCAGAATCACGTTAAAAGTGGAATGAACATACATTTAGGAAATTGAATTTTCTCGCAAAAACAAACGTTTTTTTCGGGGAATTTAGTAAAAAAAATAAATATATACCAAAATGGTGTTCCATGAAGTAACGGTTAAGCGTACTGGACAGGGTTTGTGCGTTCGAACCCCGCTCTGGATAACCTGATATCAAGCAGTAGTGATATCAATTTTTACGTGAAAATATTGATCAAAAATATGTTTCCAATTAAAAGCAGCCTTAGGGCAGTACTACCCATTCTTTTGTACCAAAATGTGAATATAAAAATGCAAATAATTTTAAGGAAAATAAAAAAATCCAGTTTTTTTAACAATTCTTCTATTAATTTATTTTATAACAAAATACTTTGTAATACACAGTATTAAACATATTTTACATATTTACAAATTGTCTATTTATTACAATTACTTCAAACATTTTATTTTAAGCAAGACAAATTCTATTAAAAGTAGAGATATAAAAATATGATGGTACAAAATTTGAAATTAAAAAAAATTACAATGTTCTATATAAATAAAATTTAAGTTAAAATATACAAAATTTAAATTTTTAGGATAATTTTTGTTTATAAAGTTATATCCATTTGTACCACATTGTATTGGAAGTATGTCATATCTTCTTCTTTGACTTTTCCTAAAAAAAAAATTAAATTGAAATCATTTCAAAGAATTCACAAATTCGAAAATTTAAACAATTTTGACTACAATAAATACACTCACAATTTTAGACATACAATTTAGTTCATATAATTTATTAAGGTTACTTTAGTTATTAAATTGCAGATTCAGATAATACTATAGTGGTGTACAGAATTTTTGAAACATCTCGTTCTATTTCTAAAAAAAAATAAAACTAATTTTTGAGATTTTTTTAATTGAGATCGAATCCTAAAACTTAGTTCAAAATTTTGCATAACATTAAAATTTCCATAAATAATTAGACAATCCAATTAAAATATAAAAAGTTGAATCTTTTACCATCAAGTTAAATCTTGTACCCTTACCATCTCCTCTAAAATCTCTGCCATAAATAGCAAAGGTTTGTAAATTATCTATTTCATTTTCATTTGCTAATTGCATCGATACTGTCTTCATCTGTTGCTCTTTTAAACTTTCATCGTACAAGAAGGAATTGGTCTTCAAAGGAGCCATGAAGTGGGTCAATGTGTCTGGCATGGTAAGGACTTCGTCTATTGCTGGAAAATCACCACGGATTGAGATCTTGTGGAATATTTGGCGAGGTTCTACATTTCTAGATGATGGAAACCTAAAAAAAATTAGATTGAAGATTTTAGCATTTGAAAAATTGAGTTGGTCTGTGAAAAAAATTGGTTAACTCGTGGATGAGGTTGCTCCTTTGATTTGACGTAAGATGGAGAAGATAAATTTTCTTGATAATTTTAGTATAAGATTAGGCAACAAATTTCAAAATTTACTTAATACTATGAAACCTGAAAGAAAAATCAAATTCAGAATTTTAGCTCAGTAAAAATTGGTTAACTCTTGGATGAGGTTGCTTTCTTGACTTGACGTAAGATAAAGGAAATGATTTTTTCAAATAAATCTAGTATAAGATTAGGCAACAATTTTTAAATGTCACTATGTTAGAAGACAGCTGGAATTTTTACTCTGCTATTAAATAAAAGTCGAGTAAAATAAAAAGAGTTATTGGCTCAAGTCCATGTTGGCTTCACTCAACGTGGGCTTAAATGTTGGATTTATTAGTTATTTTTGGAAAAACATCAGCGAAAACTATTGTGATCAGTTTTTCTTGTTATTGTATCAATAGCAATATTATTGGCTAATGCCATAATAAATATCTATATTACCTCTTAGCACAGTGTTTAAAATCTGATCCCGAACAAGCAATAATGGCACAAGCTTTGATACCTCCATTGGCAACTCCAGAAAATGAACGTTGGATATCTCCAACTATTGCACGATATTGATAACTCTCCTAAAAAATAATAGGAATAAAGGATATCATGGTAATCTTGTTCTAAAAAGTCTAAAAATTTAAGTGACTTCACTTACCATTCCTGCTGTCCGATTTAAAATTCTCGTGGAGACATCAAATGTGCAACACAAGTTACCATTGCAAAGTTCTTTAGAGAAATGTTCTCCAATCTGGAATAAAAGTCATATCTTGAATTCTGCTTTTTGTCATATGCAATCATTTGAATTAGTACAAATCAATTTAGTTATTACAAAATTACCCAAATTCTTTATTTGGTTGTTGCTGTTTTCAAATTATAATATTTACATAAGGAATTCTACTGATGGTGTCAACCAATTTTTACCTAAAAAGGAATTTACTAAACTGACAAATTTGAAGTATCTGGAATATGGACTCTAAGAAATGCTTTAAACAGTGGATAAACTTAAAACTGGATAAGTATGCAGATTTTGGGACAAAAATTGGATTGGACAAAATTTTTCGAGACAAAATTTGGATTTAACACAGGTCTGATGGGAATTGGAGATGTATCGATGGAAAATAACAACAACTTGAATAATTGGAGCAACTAAAAACGCATCTAATGCATCTTAGTTTGCATAGGATGTTTAAACTAAATTTTAAAAAGAAGCTCCTACAATGAAATGTGACTTATACAATGACTTTCTTAACACAGCACTTAATGCAGATATTGGGAACAGTATGGAAAATAAATATATTTACCACTTCAGATGTGAATTTATCAATTTCATCCCGCTTCATGTAGAAAGCATCCATATTAGGCTCTTCCTGAAATAAAAAAGCATCATTTAATGAATACAACATCATAATGTCATAATCTTTCAAAAGTGCTTGAATAGTGATAGTAATAGCTCGAGTAGTAAATGAAGCACTAGAATTTTAAAACAAAAAGATTTATAATGTGCAATAAATAATCGTGCTTTCTGAGCCGAGAAGTAATAGTAAAACTTCTCAATATGATTGTGTCTATTATCTTCCTACTGGCAATTAATTCTGTACCTCATATGTAAATTCTTCGTATTTTTCCTCAAATTTACCATCCTCAATTTTCTCGATAGAATTACCATGTTTAGGAACAGTGGCAACCAACAACTTATTATTGTTTTGTCCAGGGATGCTGATGTATTTCACTAAAGGTCCTTTGGTTCCTGCATAAATACCAGAACCACCACTTCCAATCATGGTGTTACTTGCACCTGATGCCAGCAAGTTGACGTTGTTAGTGAATGACCAGTATTCTTGGATTTGAAGAGCTGATGGTAAAAGTAAAATAGTCAGTGGAAATAAGCGAATTTATTGAAATTGTGTTTTACAAGGTCTTAATAATATTAGGTTGGGGAAAAAATCCATTATTTCTTGTTTAAAATTTTGTTTTATTGGTTTATCACTGTTTTGTGGTCGATTTTTAGCTTTTGGGCAATGTTACGACTGCTAACATGCCGGTCAACTTCGATATTTTCTCCAATTTCATCAACATTTTCGATATTAGATTTAATAGAGAATTGGTTGGTGGTAATGTTTTTTTTATATTAGAGCCTAAATACTTATTAATATTTATTAAGTGTTCTGATTCGAAATTTCAGGTCAAATCTAAACTCTTATCAAATAATATTTTTTCTGTCACAATCAATTTGTGTTAAAACCTAAAAAATCTGTATTTTAACCAACACGTGTCTATAATTTCTTATCAATCGTGATAACTTCTTAATGAAATTAATTTTTGATTTTATTAATTTAATATCATATTTTATAAGTATAAACAAGTCCATTGATAAGATAATATGATGCTTTAAACAAATATCACAGATCGTATGATAGAAAAACTGACGTACCTACTTGTAACATTATCAAATTAATTACAAATATTAAAAATCATTGAGCAATTGATCTTTTGTAATCAATAACTTAATAATTGATAAATATTAATAATTATATTAAGTTGTCAACGGAATTTTTTCAGACATACATAAGTTGCTGATATTAATTATTAATCTCTTCAAGTATTGATTAATTTATACAATCAATTTTTTGTAAGAGATAACTTATTAATTTATATCATGTTGATAATTATATATTTTTTATAAAGAGATCATGGAATTATTTCGTAAGTTGTTTGCGTTTTTAACAAGGTTGTTTGAGATAACTTTTAATTTCAAAAGTATGTACAGTTTTTTTATGAAAAATTAACCTTAAGATATTAAATTATTATATAACAATTGGCAAATAATTATTGTTTTTTCATATTTGAATATAGTTGAAAAAAGTAATTAATTGAATTTTTTAAAAATTTGTTTTAGCCAGGAAACCCGACTAGCTAATTTTAAGTTCCAATTCATTCTGAAAGAGAAAACTTTATTTTTTATTAAGCAGTTATTTGTTTTTCTGAATAACTAAATATCAATTCTTGTTGATTGATTTGATTGTAAATAAGTATCAGGAAGTTTGTCCCTTGACTTAAGGCAACATGCCACTTACGCCTAGCCAATTTAACGTAAAACTATTCGAAATGACTTCAAAAGTCGAGAAGACATAAAACTAGCAAATTGGACTTTTGGACAAAAACATAAACTTCTTCTTCGGTAAGTTAACAATAATTAATATTATTAATAATTTGACCTTATTTTTCGAATCTAGATCTTATTTATTATATTTTTATCGTCCAATTAATATTATCACGACATGTTTTAAACATAGATTTTAGTTAATATTTGATTAACGATAACGTATGTTGTCGCTTTTATGGTGTGATAAGGCAACTTATTGGTATTGTATTAAATTTTTAGATAAACATTTTTTCTAGCTTTATAAATAATTTGTTTGGTAATACATAGAAATAATACGATAAAAATAAATGTTATATATTATGATTTTTTTCTCATATCTTAAAAGCAATCAGAACCTTACGTTCTACGAGCTGTTGGGCTGAAACTTCTCCTTATTTCGTATTTTTAGATGGAAACACAATGGTCAATTATCTATCCATATTTTATGATTTTATTATTAGAATTTATCTAATAGATCTGACTTTTTATTGCTGCAGCAATGCCGGATTAAAAGCTATTTTCACTTGGAAACATATTGCTATCTATATTTCCAAGTGAAAACCATTGTCACTACTGCTTGACAACAGGCTGCTCAAAGTGTGTTTCAAAACCGGTACTTCTGAATAATATTGTGATGATGATAAATTTTTATTTTGGTGCAATCTCAGAAGAAAATATAAGTAATGGCATTGAACTTGTAGTCAAAAATGATTTTTTTCACTGACATCCTTTGATAAAACTTTAATTTGAAAAATATTGTATTGGTCGTAAGAAAATGAAACTGGATTAGACACTTATTGGGCAAAAATAACATTGAAGGTTAATGATTATTTAATTTATTGATAATATATTATCGAAGATTATTAATAGTTATTATTGTCCTTTATAAATGATTTAAAAAAAATATAGAACTACTTATATTATTCCTACCTGTAAGGAAAGGCAACTCGCTGAACCACATGGTAGGAAAGATAAAATCCCTGACTCCTTCCCTAACCATGGCCAAAGCTGGTTCGTTGAACATTATGTCGAAACAGGTGAACAACCCGAAACGTACACCAAAGTCTGTCAGGAATGTCGAATGCTCAGGCAATTTAGTGGTGTTCATATTGCGCTCTCCGAATAGATTGTATTTTCGATACCTGGGGAAAAGAAAGTGAATTAGATTGATCAAGGAATAAACTAAATAAGATCACTTTATGGTTAATAAATTGTTTGAAGAATGAGGTTTAGGATCCAAATAAATCAATAATTTTCTTTTTTTTCAGTATGAATTAGTTTTTTACCTTGCAACAACAGCTCCAGTTCTATCAAAAACAACATCAGTATTATAGAAATTCAGTCCATCTTTTGCACATGGCCTTGTGTCATTAGCAACTGCCTGGGTTTCTTCATTGCATTTAGCTTGTTCTGATAAATTTACCACTACGTACAATTTGCTAGATTTTGCTGCACATGATAAAGGCACTAAAATCTGCCAATAGAAAAAATAGACTCAAAATTGGATTGTTTAAAAAATAGCAATTTTAGAATTTTGCACTAACCTCATTATAAGCATTGTTTCTGTCCAGATTTAATCTATTGCAAGGTATAATGTTTTCTTTGGGTTCTGGTACTTCAGTAGTTGTTTCTGCTGCAACTGATCTGTTGTGTGGAACACTATTTAGTGTAGATTCAGGAAACACGACGATATCCACATTCTGAAAAGAATAACACATTTAATTTTCTAACATGTTTTTTAAATAGAATCTTTACATATTACCAGGACATCCACTACATATGTCCACTCCATGCTACCAGGACATCCACTACATTCCGAATCTGAACGGAATATGGGCAAATGTTAACAAAATCATATGGGCTAAATATTGGGAAACAATATTTAACAAAAAACATATTCAGCTCAAATTCGTTTCTACTAGGGATGTTGATATTGTATGGTTATGATGTTTTTTGGTAGACAACCCTGTAGTTGACTTATCCAATTGTGACTAATGACATTTTATATGACAATATTTTCTCTTACCTGTTGCTGTGCACTGTCTATAAATTTCAAATATTCCGCCAAATTAAGTTCGGCTCTTTTGAATGGGTCCATATTTGTACTTGGTTTATATTCCACCACGCCAGCCACATAGCTATCTGAAGATTTTCTTGAAAACTGAAAGATGAATAAAATTTTTAAAAATTATTTGGCTTAAAAGCCATTGATCATGCTGACATGCTTATGGATTATTATTTTTTTTATTCCAGAATTTTAGTTCTCTCAAAGTCACCACAAAATCTACCAAACAAACGTCTCCTAAATACTGTGTCTCAAAGTTAACCAGATCCAAATTCCAAATAGAATTTGGATGGCTTTGGCACATGTGGGCCAATCTGGTCACTAATAATTATCTTAACTGAGTTAATATTTTATCATGCAAAATAAGTCACTCCTCATGCTGACATACTAGTAGAAAAATTTTCCTTTTATTCCAAAATTTTACCTCCGCCAAAGTCGTCTTAAATTCGACCAGACAAGCATCTTCTAAGGGCTCCGCATCAAGACTTGACCAAGAAGACTTTGGTTGGAATCCAAATCCAAAAACCATTTGAACGACTTTGGCCCTAGTGGCCCAATCTGGCTCTCTATCATTACCTCAAGCCAGTCAAACTTTTATCATGCAAAACCAGTAATTCTAATTTAAAATTCTTCTCTTTTTTATCATCTTGTCACCATCAAAATTTAATCCCCTACAATTATTATAACCCAATCAATATTTTATCATGCAAAGTAAGTCATTCCACATGCTGACATGTTAGTGGACTATTATTCCCTTCATTCCAAAATTTACCTCCGTCAAAGTTGTCTTAAAATCGACCAGACAAACATCTCCTAAATGCTCCACCTCGAGATTGACCAGATTTGGGTGATTTTGGCCTGTGTCGGAGCATACCAAAGTCGACGACGGATTCGAAAAATATTCGTCCAAGGTTTTTATCTGATAATTGCAAACACAACTGCGGAATACAGAAACGGAGGTTTGGGAAATTCGTATATATAGTTTTGGAGAATTTGTAAAAATAAAATTGGAGGTGAATTTGTCTGCCTCAAAAACTTATAGTACTCAATCGAAGATATAATATCAATATAAATATAGTGAAGGAACAAATATTACCAACAAAAAAATATGTTAATTTTTCTATCTATTGGAGTGAATCTATATTCTCAGGTAAATACTGATATTATACTGCTTGATATCAAGATGTCCGAGATGGAACTGAAAAAAAAAGCTCTGTGGGGCGCGCCTCCTCATGATATTATTACATAATATTGCATATTAACTTGTAGTCTGATATCAGTTGAGTGTTTATAAAATTAAATTGTTGAAAAAATTAAGGGGCGTGATTAGACCTCTGACCATCATACCAGAAGGTTCCAGGTTCAATAATGTCTTTCGACAGCCTGATGACTAGCAGTAGTAACGGATTTCACTTGAAAATCTAGATTTAAATATGACGACTTGATAATAGCCCTTCTGTGGCATTGTTTCATCAAATTAAAAATCAAAAGTATTAGAAATATTTTAAAAAAGTATATCAAATTTTAAATAAATCCACATTTTTAGAAAGTATTATCATAAAAGCTGTCTTAAGTCTCTGCTGTTTAAAAAATTAATATGTTATATACAACTAATCTTCTAATTTTTGTATATTATACAAATTTAAAAATATATTTTTTTTCTAAATGAATAAATTTATTAAGTTACCATAGAGTAAGTTATAGTAATCGCAGAAAAAACTAAAATGTTTTTTTATATATCTTTACGTTTCAAGTGCTTCTGAATATTTTGGCATACCTTAGAAAAAATGGAGGTGTGAGTGTGTGTGCGGATACAATTTTTCGTTGTCAATTTTGAGAACATGGATTAACCGATTTGAGTGATTCAAAAAATATTAGATTACATTATTGATAAGGGAGCGTCCATGAATCACGTCATCGTATTTTTAAGGTTTTTTGGACCCCTACTCCCAAAAAATTTTTTTTTCTAAAATTTATTATTCAAATTTTTTTTGTCAATGGTTTTTTTTACATCTACAATTTTCACTCAATTTAATTTTGTTAAAAAAAATCAAAGACTATAGTTCATGGTTTTTCACTCAATTTAAAATATGTCAAAATATCCACATTTTTAACACAGTTTGTATTTTTATCGATTTTTTTCCAAAAGATTTTTTTTCAATTTTTGTTTCAATTTTTTTTTTTCAAAATTGTTTTCAAATTTTTTTCAATTTTTTTTTGAAAAAGTGTAATAAATGGCAATTTAGTTTTTGAGAGAATGAAGCGTCCGAATTGAATGATTTAAAAAAACATTTTATTTGTATTGATGAACTGAAAATTTGATTCAATTTTTGGGAAGGCAGGTCTAGCGGTTTTATTTTTGTCATTTGTCATTTGGCGAACAAAAGTGATCATTAGACATGTGCACATCAACTTATCAGATATTTCATAGAGATTTTATTAATACGCATGAATTTTGTTTACATTTCTATGGGTTGGGTACAAATTATTATCCGTTAGACTGCAACGCGACGCATACGCGCTTTCTTGTTTCGTCTCTAAACAACAATACCACTCGTTTGCTTAAAAAAAAATTCAAAAATTTCAAAAAGTTTCAAAATATTAAAAAAAAAACACATTTTTCAAAGAAGTCAATTTTTTTTCAAAAAAAATCAAAATAATCAAAAATTTTCTAAAAATTTGAAAGCTTTTTTAAAATTGTTAGTTTTTTGTGCGGAAAGTTCGAACAATTTGCCTTAAGGCACGATGCCATGCACCACCAGTTCAAACTTTATCCATTAGGGCAAGTTGCCCAATGCTCTACATATTACTCTGTATATCAGAACATAACAACAAATCGTTTGGACATAAAACAAAATTCCATATAACGAGACATATTTTATTGATTTGACCCGAAGCTGTGAACTTGTGTCGGCTATCGACAGACCAATCGGAACATTTCAATGCCAATGGCAAAAATAATTGTACATAAATAAATATGAATTTCTTATTGTTAGTCAACAATAAAATATCAATATTTTTGATCAGGCACCAACACACTCACTAATTGTTTTGTTAACATTAAAATTTGTTTGAATTATATAACTCGATTGTTTGAACTGATCTTGATTGTAATCATTATTTGATTATTTTGAATAAGATATCGATTATGAAATTTACATTTTATAAATTTTGGTGCCTTGTCCAAAAATTAGTTAAAACTTCCTGATCAAATGACAATATTTTTTCAAGTTTTTGATGTATTTTAAACTGTTTGCAGTATGGCCATCATATTTCAGTATGATCTGTAAGACCATGATATCTATTGTGAAAAAAAGTTTTAACAGTTAATTATAAGAAAACGGCTCGGTCGATATTTACCAACCAATACCTTACGAACAGTTTTTGACTTTTAAAATTGATTTAGTATTGTCAGCTGTGCGCACGAAGTTCTACACTTTTTTGCAAATTACAAAGAAAAGGCTCGGCCTATCTTCGCACAAAACTGAAAAACGATAGTTCTCATCGAATTACATCGAATGTCTTTTAAATTTTTGAAATCGGTCCAGCCGTTTTGAGAAAACATCGATTTAAGGTAAAAAATCTGTTCACACACACACATACTTTTTCCAAATTTGGTCTCATTCGATTCAGAATGACTTGAAACGTCGAGATCAAAATCTTCCGTCGACATTTTTTTTTTTGAATTTTTATTCGAAATCATTATTTTTTTTTGTTTTTAATATTTGCTAATAAATTTAAAACTAATAATAATAAAATTAGTTTAAAATTTATTTCAAAATAATTTTTTTCTATAAAGAAAATTTATTTTTGGCAAATATAAATATTGTAGACTGTAAAAATCTCTTTTTTCAATCTTTATTTGAAATTATTAATTTTTTGTTTTAATTTACATTCATTAATAAATTTATAGTAAAATTAGTTTAAAATTTATTTCTAAATAAACTTTTTTCTATAAGAAAATTCATTTTTGACAAATGTAAATATTAGACGGTGAAAATTTTTTTTTCTAATTTTCATTTAAAATTATTATTTTTTTGTTTTAATTTACATTCATTAATAAAATTAATACAAAAAATAGTAAAATTAGTTTAAATTTTTTTTTCTGAATAAACTTTTCTCTATAAAGAAAATTTATTTTTGGCTAATGTATTAGAATGTAATATTTTTTTATTTTTACTTGAAATCGTAGTTTTGTCGTTTTTTTTATTCATTAATAAATTCAATACTAACTATAATAAAATTAGTTTAAAATTTATTTCTAAATAAACTTTTCTCTATAAAGAGAATTTATTTTTGGCAAACGTAAATATTAGACCATATATTCTTTTTTTTTTAATTTTTACTTGAAATCATATTTTTTTGTTTTTATTATTCATTAATAAATGTAATACTAATAATAATAAAATTTAATAGTTTAAAATTTATTTCTGAATAAACTTTTTCTATAATGAAATTTTATTTTTGGTTTTACATGTAAATACTAAACAGCAATTATTTTTATTTGATTTGTTTTGTTTTTAGCATTTATTATTAAATTTAAAATGAATAATAATAAAATTAGTAATTAGCATTTAAATTTGATTATTTGTAAATAAGCATTTTTCTATAAAGCAAATTTATTATTGGCTTAGACTATAAAAATCATCCTTTTATAATATAATTAGTAATTTTTATTTAAAATCATATTTTTTTTTGTTTGCATTATTTACTAATAAATTTAGTAACCACTATTATAAATAATAAGTACAATTTCTATTTATTTTAATTTTTTGGAAATATTCTCTGTTTTATAACGACCTTCAAAAGGGCTTTCCCAGTTAAAGGGAGCTCAAAATGAAATGTATAAAAATATAGATAAAAATAAAATTTATTAAAAATTTATTGATAAAATATGATAATTCAAAATGGTTATATTTAATTTTATTAGGTATTTGTATTTATTTAAATTATTGCTATTTTTAAAAAATAAATTTATTGATTAATATTGACAGCCCTCAAAAGGGCTTTCAAAGCCCTTCAGTAAAGCACCTTAGACCCAAAAAGTGCTTTGACTTTTGGATTAAATATTGAATTATATTATATTATAATATACAAAAATTAAATAAAAATTAAAATTAAATATGTAATTTTCAAATCTCTCACCTGTTCCGATTTCGGCACCAGAACGCACCAGACCAGAAGGGCCTTTGCTAAGACACTTAACATTTTTATCAACTGTCCTATTAAAAATCTATAACTCTTGATAAATATATTATTTTTATCAATTTTGATGTTCGTTCACTGTTCGAATCGATCTGATTGACTGAAAAATTAATGAAATTCATTTCGTATTTGTATTAGGAACGACTGATCATGAACTTCGGTACTTGGATGTCAAATCGACGATAACTTTAAAGATATCGCCAGTTCATTTGAATATAATCGTATTGTATGTACACATGGGGATATATTCACTAATAAGTCATTTAGACCGAGAGCAATGGACATAGTTTTGTATTTTTTAAATATATTTAACATCAATCCGAGCTTTAAATATATTTAACATCAACCAGTGGGGTACATGGCATCATGCCTTAAGGCAGATTGCTGGAACTTTCCGCACCGTAAATAAACATTCGAGAGATGAAAATAATCAATAACTGATTTGAATACTTTCAAATAGATTATTTATTATAAAAACATATAAGAGCTTTTTAAATTAGGCGACGAGCGTATTAACTTAGTGTATGTTTATAAGAAATTTGTTCATTTTTTTTAATTTGATATTTTTGATAATTTAGAAATTTATTCAAAATTTTGAAATTTTGTTAGAAGTTTGAAATTTTTTGGAATTTTAAAAAAAAAAGGTTTTTTTAAATTTCTTGGGAATTTAGGAATTTTTGAAAATATTCGAATTATTTGAAAATTTCTAAATATTCTAAAATTTTTGTAAAAAATTGTTTTTTTTAAATTCTGATATTTTTTTTAATTTTTCAAGATTTTGTTTCTTTTTGAAAATGATGAAAAATTTCAAAACTTCAATTTTTTTTGAAAATTTTGAATTTTTTTTTTAATTTTCATAATTACGAATTTTCTGTAAATGCATTTTTTTCACACCGTCTACTCAAGCAAAGTGTTTTTTGAATTAATTTAATCGGATGATTCGTTCTCTCAAAAACTGCATAACCGCATAACATAAAATAAGAATAATGAAGATTACATCATTTATAATAATCTATTTGACAACATTTAATACTTCTCGAATATTTCATTAAGCTACGGGAAGTTCCAGCAATTTGCCTTAAGGCACGATGCCATACACCACTAGTTTTAAATCATATTACGTCATTTAGCATAAATATTCTCCGCTCTGTTCCGGGTTTTACATGAAGGAGTAGTATCACTTTATTTTTGGACAGGTACAACTAGTATTATATATGAAAAATAAATTATATGCTGAAAGAAAACTTGCACCGAACATATTCAATATTTGAACTAACTGCCTGACATTAATTTAAAATATTTTTTTATTTATTATAATGTTGGTAAATCGAGAGGGCTGTTTGTACGAACTTCAGAATCCATAAATTCATTTGTTTGCGATTGACATTCTTTCAATTAAAACAAAATAAATATAAAATTATATTTGATTATAAAATAAATATTGGATTGTGTGTAAAAAATGAACTACCACACGAATATGACGACACCTCGTCTGCAGAAGAAGAGTGGATCAGGTGATGAAATTTATTCGGACGCTTTTATGGTGACCATGATGAGAGAGTTGTGGCCCCACATGCTAAAGAAATGGGATGAACCCAGATTAATAAATGACATAATGATGCTAATTAAGAATCTAATCATGCGGGGAGAGGCTATAGAGTGGAAATATGAGAAGGAATTAGATTCCATATTCGGAATATTTACGATGATGTTCTTGGAATTGAATCACAACCCAAAAATCAGGTTGTTGCTGTTATTGTTACTGGAATTGAGGGCTGGCTCATGGCGCTTGAGCAGGGATGCCATCTGGTACTATCAGCCCTACTTGGCGGCGATGCAGAGGGAGACGCCAACGGAGCTCCTTTTTTTCGATAAGGAAGCATTGGAAGAAATGGCCATGTATTGCATGCCATAATATGTCAGTTATGTAATTAATTATTAATCTTACTCTTCCTTTTCAAAATGTATCCAAAGTCTTAGAAATGAAGTTTAAAATTATACATGCTATATTATATGTACTATAATATATCTTTGTGAAGTAACTTAAATATGATTAAAATAACAATTATTATTTAAAGATACAATAATAAACAGTTTTCAAATACTGATTACTACTGATTATTGTTATCATGATTTGATTGATGAAAGCTATTGATTACAGTTGACGTCCACACGATAGGCATAAATCCTGATTAAGCCCATCATGACGAAATTCGAAACTTCGATGAATTTTTACATTTCATCTAAAATATTGTCATAGGCTTATATTATTTTAGAACGATATTTAATTATGAAGAAACGGCTTGGTCGATCGTCGCGCAAATCATAACAAAAATTAGCCCTTATGAAGTAACATCGAATAGTTTTGAATTTTTGAAATCGGTCTAGCAGTTTTTGAGAAAACGGCGACGAAAAGTCAAAAATCGACCATATACACACACACATACTTTTTTCAAATTTGATCTCATTTGATTCAGAATGACATAAAATTAGCAAATCGGATTATTTTGCGAGAACAAACTTCTCCTTCGGGAAGTAAATCGTAATGGGCCAAAAATCGAAATTGAACATTTTTACATTTCTCGACGGTTTAAAGGTTTCTGAACATTCTGGCATACCTTACAAAAAAATGATGTGTGTGTGTGTATGTATGGATACAAATTTCCAGTTACATTTTCGGGCGTACGGATCAACCGATTTGAATGGTTCAAAAAACTTTCGATTCCTATTGATAGGGAGATGTGCTGATTAGTTTTTGGCAAAAGCAGGTCCAGCAGTTATGGAGATAAAGAGCAAAGAGTGGAAAAAATAGAAATCGAGTTTTTGAGAGAACGGAGCATCCGATTTGAATGATCTAAAAAACATTGAATTAGTAATGATTGGGAGAAGTGTTTACTAGTTTTTGGCAGAGCTAAATATGTAAAAATGTCAGTTGTTGAGAGAACTAAGCGTCTGATTTAAATGATTCAAAGAACTTTCTGCTTGTCTTAATAAAATAATTGATTTTGGAAAAAAAAATTTGTTTCAACTTTTTTTTTTCAAAAAAAATTTTTTTTGTATATCGAAAATAATTCAGATTTTATTTTTAATTCTAATTAAAGTTCAAATCATAAGTTCTAATATACTTTAAACAAATAATTCCAACTTTTGCAATTCAGTTTATATAATTCTTATAAATATTAGACAATGTTACAATATTTATTTATAATAATCTATTTGAAAACATTCAAATTTCCTCGAACATTTCGTTACGGTACAGGAAGTTCCAGCAATTTGCCTTAAGGCACGATGCCCTTCACCCCACTAGTTGATTAATAGGATTATCAACACATCTTGGTATAGTTCAAGCAAATTAGCTTGATACAAAAAGTCACTTACACCTAGTTAATCTTCAATCTAGATGAAATATTTTCTGCGGAATTAAGTTGTATTATTTCAAAAATCTCAATGTTGGTTTCAAGTAATCAATAGTTTACCTTCAATAAAAATTATCGCCAATTTATGTACACTTACACCAAACTAAAATATGTACATATACACGGTGAAGTCTACTTTACTGATAAACGGAGCTCATTTAAATATTTATTACTATAGATAGGCGTATTGTTCAGCATTGAAATATTTACCTACAATAAATTTCAGTAGTTATATTTTTTTCATAAACTGTCTACTGATTTTGCTTTAATTCATGTATTTATTATTAAATTAAATTTTAAGTCATGAACGCTTTTGCGTTCTCATATGTAAGTTACGCTTGTGCAGCCTATATTATTGTTACAATAATTTCATCACGATTTAAGGACTCTATTTATACCAGGAATTTCTATTTGGTAAGGAAAAACAATTTGGTTGTTAACCAGTTAACTGTGGCGCTTTTTTCAAGCACAATTTTATATCGTGCGAATCGAGCTCATGACGAGTATAATCGTCATTCACAGAGTAGGTTGCAAAAACTTAATAAATTTATTTAAATACATATTTAAAAGTGCAAATTCTAATTATTGATGTGAAGTGATAGGAACATTATAGCATATGATAGGAAATACGAAAAATAGTTTACTTAGAAAAATTTATTTAAGCTTGTTATTAGTAGGGGAGCAAGGGGCTTGTTGACACAGTGTTTTTTTTAAATTGATATATCGTGAGATCCACTGATTATTGGACAGATTCTTTCGCACAACTGACCAATGTTATGGCAAGGTCATGTTATGAAGAACTTTCCATACTAATTCGTTCTAAATATTGACAAAAGTCATGTGGTTGCTGTGCAGCCAGGCGTTTTTCTTAGGTTGTCAAATAGATAACCTAACCAAGAAACCGCACAAATGTCAAAAAACAATCTTAGATAACAGGGTCTTTCTAACTCAGCTCCATAACATACGAGTGACGTGGCAGTTTATGTGTAAAACGCTTGAATGCACAGCAAATACATGACATTTTGACAGTATTCAATATGGTTCAGTAGCATAATGTATGGAAGTTGGAGCGTAACATGGCCCATATATTTGTACGAAATAAATATAGATAAATGCTGTAACTATTCTTCTACCGATTCAAGTGAAAATAAGTTCATAACTATATAAGCATTTTCTAGAAAATGTGCGGTGTTACAACTTACCACGTGTTTGCAGCTAGTTGTAACATATACCGGGGCAAGTAGTAACGACAATAATAGCTCTGGTGATTTATTTTTTGATTAGGAATATTGACTTGTCTCCAAGTCATTCTTTTCATACATTAACGTGATTTTTACAAATAAAAGATGTAGTGTCTCCTGTAACACAATTTACATGTGCCCAAATCTTACAAATTTAGAATTGTGGACGTCAACTGCAATCAGTAGCTACCTACAAAATTTTGGTGATTTTTTGTAATTTAACTGCTTATCGTAGGCTTCTATTACTTTAGTATGTTATTTCAGACTAAAAAATCTGTTGACATACAAATTTTCAACAAAATCGTCAAAAAGAAGTTCCCAGCGTTTAATACGAAGAAACGGTTCAGCTGATCTTAGTCAAAAGCTAACCAACGCGATTTCCAACCAATATTTTTGAAACAGTTCTAGGATGTCTAAAACGCGGACGTAAAATTT